TGAAAATGTTAGAACCCTATTTATTTATCACGATATTTTGTTATTTACAATCTGACACATTAACGAAGTGATATCAGGGAATGTATAAAATAACCAGTTAAAGTATAAACTATATACATGCCTACGAGCTTTAGTTATTTTATAAATTACCTAGTTATTTCACAAACTAACTGATTCAACACTTTAACTGTAACACATATATCCCGTAGACTGTAATATAACTTATACACTGGGCGCCGCTTATAAGACTCATGGAAATGAGGTTCAGTCGCTCATTAGACTCAAAATCGTCTGAAACGGTCCGGACGTATCCAAAAACATTATAAAAAATTCGGTTATAACTTATAAGACTCAAATTTCGTAAACAGAATGGTAAAACATAAACATTTTCGGTTAAAATTTAGAAATAAATTGTTTTTTTTTGCTTTATCATGTGAGTATGTACAACACATATTATCGCATTTCACATTTTCCAATATATTTCCGGGATATTAGTTAATAACTCAAAGCAAACCAAAATTACAATTTTTCTTCATAAATAATAAATAGGTACGTTATATACATACATCTTTTATAATTTGTTATTAATATAATATGTTATCATTTATTTATATATATTATAATTTTAACTTTTTAAATGTATTCAATAATAAATATATAATATGTAATATGTATTATAAAATTAAAGCAAAATATATAGTAAATTAAAATTCATCAATATGTAATTACATTTTTTCCACTTCGCCCATCAGATTCATTCGGTTATAAGACTCATTTTGTGCTGGTCCCAAAGCGAGTCTTATAAGCGGCGTCCACTGTATATATATATAATATAAAACTCGTAAAAGATATTCGATGTCCGAATGCGCGTCATCGTATTATATGCGATAAAATTTGAAAAATAAATAAATGATATCACGCTCGCACGAGGTTTTTCATTATATCCACGACCTTTTATCGACGCGGGAAATCACAGCTTTATTATGGATTGCCTCCATAGTAATATGATATAACATTTTTATTTATTTTTTTATTAATACTGCGTTATGTGTTATTGCAGCTGTCGTTCTTAGATGATCAAAACCCTGTTCGATGTGCGTAAAAATAAAAACACAAAAATAGTCATAATTATTTGCTTTTAATGTCACCTCTCCCTCCAGCGCTTAAATTGAGTTTGACCCTACTGAACTGCGAATTAACCGTGAATGCAGTAGGTAATAGTCATGTCTTGAAATAACGCGTGTTTGCGCGACGTACTATCGTATGCATTAATTAACTTAACATGTTTCTAAATGCTATATATATGAACTTAACTCGGTAAAAAAAAGGTCAATTCATTTCATTTATAATTGCCTTCTGTGCCACAACTCACAAGCACATATCGTATATGAGTATATGACTCTCGATTTTTTATTGGTTTATGTTTGTTTCAAATGATGATTGTGTACGGGCCGGTGTTTGCAGCTGAATCGTTAATCATATTATATAGATACATCAGCGTATTAGACGAATTATTAATTTAACCGCGAGATTGATTTTAACTTATCGTATTAATTTTGGAGTTAACTGAACACGCAAAGTTATTGCGACAATGATGGTCACTTATTAAGCTATAGTGAAACTATATTTAAGTTAATTACGAAATTAGCCAACTAACAAGTTAGGTTAGAACATTTTAAACAAATAACTTTTTAACTAGTTAATGCCCACGTTTGGGTACTATATTATACACCCATGTCCTGCATAAAACCTGCGTCGATATCTTTTAAAAGGTTATTTCGCGTCAAAGTTTTAAATTTAAATTAATAATGAAAAACTCGTCGAAATTACCATTCGTAAATAAATTGTTGCATTAGTTTTGAAACGCCTACGCGGAGACTGGAGCAGCGCGTGTGGGGTTTACTCTACGTTCACCCACTTTTATAATACATAAGATACTATTGGAAATTACAAAGCAAATTCTAAACGAGCAAAAAAGTTGAATATTTTCGCAGAGGAATGCACATTATTTGTACATTACATCGTAATATTTACACCCACGTAGATTTAGTACATTTTCTTTGCGAATTCAATTCACTTTTAATTGTAAAATAAAATTACAATGAGATTGTAACTGTTTTCAACAGGTTAACTAAATTCTTGTTAAATAGCTAGGTAATATTTTAAATTCTTATTAAATTATTTTGTTCTCGCATATAAAATTCCTCAAACGAATTATAAAGCAACAAAAAAAAAAAAAAAATTCAAATTGGGACTTGAATGAATATTACACTCAGACAGATAATTTTATTATAAACATTTTAATATATTTGTTGGTATTTGCTGTTTTTTTTTTTTTTGCATATTTAGTCTACGCGTTTTTAAACTTTATTGCCGTTCGCTAAATAAATGATTAAAAATATACTGTAGTGATGCATTTCGATTAAGATTCTGACGTGTTGTGTATAAATAATATATTAAAGAAAACTTTTAAAAGCGCATATATTTAAATGAACGTGGTTTTTTAGAAATTGTTCAAAATTGAAATACAAAAATTAAATTATGTTATGTCAGTCGAGTCGTATCGAAATAATAATAATATGACCGATGGGAACATAAAAAATATCGATAAGTTTATTTAAAGGTTATCGCTCAAAATTTCACAGAAATGTAATATAAAAGTTCGCAAAATATTGCATATATACAACTTAAAACGAAAACTTTTCTTTTTCTTTCATTTTTTAATTTTACAATATTATATCAATACAGCGCATAATATGATATATTAATATCTGAGTAGTAAGAAAATTTGAAAATCGTCTTTCGGCTTGGTCGCTGTGAGTGATATCGTTATACATTATGTATAGGTATTCGCATTGTACATCGTAACTCTTGATATTATAAGCTATAATAGGTAGTATAATACCTATTATAATACTTGTATTATATTGTGCTTTGCTGTCGGGGGAAAAACGTCAATAAATTGGGCCACAGTCGCGTATTAATATCATGTAGATAACATAATTAATGCCTTTATAATATTATAATAGTTTGTGTCAACATGAATGTAATTCGTTTAACCGAAATCGACCACCGCCGCCACAGTTACCGTATATGTACATTAGCAGTATATTATTTAATCAGACATACCAATGATGAGTGTATATAGAATATAATACACACGCTGACGTACCACACTGGAGTGGGTGGACTATAATATAGTTGCCCGATGTTATAATTAAATATACAAGTGACAGAACGCAGCTTACGAAAACGATTCTGGGCGGGAATGTTTTTATTGTACTCTGCCAAGCTTGATGGACTTATTCTCTAAATAAAGTCTTCGGATTTTTTTTTGTTTTTCAAAAATAACCGGGCGAAAAATCCGCCCCGGTGATCTAATTAAAATTTTAATTTGTTATTTCGAAAATGTCTCTTCTTATCGGGGAATACGGAGGATTAACTACTGCAGTGAAAACGAAAGCCGAATTCGATTACACCCACCTACACCCACCTACACCCGGCAAATCCAAAACACTTTAAACCCTGTCAAGTAAACACTGTCAAATTATAATATTAACCCTTTGACCTGAATTTCAATATATTTTATGGTTATTGCTTTCTGATCTATTGACAGCCATTATCTTTTATCAGCGCATGCGATTTTCGACCGATTTATTCGCCTCATAAAATAATTGAAGTACAAAGCCTGCATATTACATGTATTGAATGACTTGAGATTTTTTCGGATAAAAAAAAAACATAATTATTAAAATTGATTTTTGTGAAAAAATAACACTTTATTTAAAAAAAAGGAAAATAATCAAAATATTTCACCTCGGCAAAAAAAATAAGTACCAAAATCATATTTTAATTTCAATACGTATTTCAAAGAGCTTACGAAAATAATATTCAATATTTTTTTTCTAAATTTATGTTCATACAGTTTTTCAAGTGACAAAAATATAACACATTATAATTACTGATAATGAGACGTTCACTGAAACGTCGGGGTATCGATAAAAATTGAATAATGATTTTGAATGTAAAACAGTTTTTCGGCACATTATATTATATTAGATACTATAACGTATGTATAGGTATGTAAACTATAATGTGTCGATGGCCAAAGAATTCGTTAATAAGAAACAAGATCGGTTTGAGGAAAATGTCGTTAGAGATTTCATCGTTATGACATTATATTATATACCGGTGATTATTTCACGATTAAATGTTACGACGTCGCGTTATTGAAATTTTCTGGTGGTCACCCATCCGAGAACGAGCGACGGAGGAGCGGCCTCGAATAACCGCTCCGATCGTCGCATTGACGAATGTGTGTCGACTCGGTCTAATATTTTCGGTCTCGGTTTTTTCACACTCGTTGAGTATTATATTTCGATCGACATTTTTTAATTCCCAGCGTGTGGGTCATCAATAAATAATTTTATAGTCTAATAATATTTAGGATCATATTATAATATGTGTTTTATTTTAGCCGTTCTACACAGTACAATATAATTCTTCCAGTTGCCCTGGATATTGTGTTTATGAAACTTCTTTAACACTGGGCAATTTGATTTACTGATTCTCGTGACTAAAATCGTATTAATTTGAGTATATCTAAACTGACCGAGTGCGTAGAAGGCAATACGTTTGAAATTAATCAGTTTATACATTATATTGTTACTTACAATAATTTGTAATAGAGTATTAACGTTAAATTCGTTATTATTCTCATAAACTTCTATCGATACAAAATACTACTGTACATTGTTTCGCGTTTCCTTCGGTTTAATAAGTCTTTTGTTGTTGAAAGTTGAAATACCCACCAAATACCAATAAAACAACAATTAACATACTTAATACACTTCATTGGGTTTTTAAATACCAATGAATAATAACAATAATAATAATAATAATACCCGTCTCAGCGGATGCGGGTTTCAAATAATATGATATTGTTTTCAAATAAAATTCTACGTTTCGTTTTTTACATTGCATTGTTATTTATTTTTTAGGTGCATTTAGAACCGCAAGGAAAATTGCATCTTCGAATAGATCTGAAATGGAATTCAAAAGGTAAACGTGTTGTATTATGTTTAAATGCGTATGCTCACATCGGAATACTTTTTTCGAACTTCTACGTGAAAAAAATGTATTTTGAAAGATTGAAATTTCATGTCGTCGCTGTCTATATTTATATTATAAATAAATTTATCAGATTTACCAGTTCGCCCATTGGAATTCAAGGAACGGCAAGGACTATTAAACCGAAGACGTGGGGCCATGAGGAGACGAGTACATCAAGTGAACGGACATAAGTTTATGGCGACGTTCCTCAGGCAACCGACGTTTTGTTCACATTGCAGAAATTTCATATGGTAATGCAAACACTTTTTAATAAGTTAGATGTTAAATATTAATACGACGCGTATAATGAGATCAAGCCTAGTTAACGATACATTTCAGCCGAGTTGAGTTAAAGTGATAGAAAAAACATTTTAAAAAGCCTTAAGTTAATAGTAACTCTATTTTTTTAATCAACTCAGTCAAGTGCAGATATGGTGACTTTCAACTAACTCATTAACCTTATTTTATTTATTTTTATGTTTTTAAATATATAAACAGCCAGTAATATGGCTTAAAATAACAAAAAGTAAACGTTTTAAATGCGTCATCTATAATAATTGTATTTTTACAATTATTATTGATTTTATTTTATTATTTATAAATGAACGTAACTTGAATTTGATTAAATGTAACTCGTTACTCGTTACTTGTTTTTTATTAAGTTAATGAATATTAGTAATATTAAATTTCATAAAATTGAGCTTAACTTAACATTTAGCTTAACGTAAACTTTTGAACTCGTTTATGCCCAGGCTTGAGTACAATTTTTAGGTAATGTCGTGGTAAAACCTAATAAGCAATAAGCCATTTATAGGTATGTGTTCGTACGATAAAATTGACACATATAAAAAAAATGTTTTTTTAAATTTAAAATCCAATAATGTCACTGTGAAAAAAAATATATTTCTGCAATAATTATCTTATCATTAATATTTGAATTGTATGATTTGAGTTAAAATAATATCAAGTGTCAACTACGACGATTGGGTTGTATATACTATATAGGTATTAGGTATACTGTACGATTAGCGCTTATAATTTTTATTCAAACAATAAAACTTTGTAATTATGTGATAGAAATATCTACATTTAACTCGATAAAAAATGTTTTATTTCAAGTAAAAATAAAATTCGATTTTTATTATACTATACCATATAATTTTTTTCTTATTATGCCACGCGTAGGTACTTATTATGTGTTCTATTGAACAGCAGGCCATCTCTGATTTCTCTGTTCTTTATTTGAATGCTTCGCGAATCGCATTCATAAAATAAAACTGAATGGAAGTCTAATTTTGTTACATATTTATTTTTTATCAAATAAATCGTTTTTTTTGGTTAAAACTAAATTAAGCTCTTTTTATGAAAATTCGTAAACACCCGTTTAGAGTGTTTAAAATTCCCTGAAAATAAACTATGGTAGACTTATTAAAGTCTATGTCAACATAAATTTAGAATGTATCAAGTAATTATAATGCATCTTAACGTCTACACCATTTGTGTTACTTTGCAATTATTATGTTACTTAACTTACATTTTTCATATAACATAATATACATTAAATTTCGTAAAATCGATATTTAAACTGGCGACGTTTCTATTATCATATATATTTAATAGAATTAGTACATTAAACATAAGTTCATCTTGAAAACTTTTATAAAAAGTTTTAAATATTTTCTGTGTTTAATATATATTTTTAAAATATCATCAAGTACTAAATTGTATTTTCATTATTATAAACGTTTCATCTGCTGCAAAATCATATCCAAAGATCGTTGTAATATGTAGTATATAACATAGCTAATATCGTATTTGGTATCATCTTTGTTTATATATTTTTCGTAAAACTCTGAAACCTTCAAGACTTGAGTATAATTTGATTATAATGCTTAGTATGTAATTGCAGATCAGTCCCGTACGGTTAATCCTGGATGGCGGCTATATACGATTTGTTGATTTTTTTGTTTAAATGCAGTTTTTACTCCACTGTAGGCACGCCGTATATACATTATTATTATAATAATAAAAATAGATATAAGTAAAAGGAACTAAAAACAAACTTACTATTCATTATTATCTTGGAGCTCAACTGGGTCACAGGCATTTTTTTTATTTAACATTAGTTTTCGTTTTATTTACCGATAAATGTAGGTCATAGTATTATACGATCAAACAAAAATTTTAAGCTCTCACAAGTATATCAGACTATTATTTATATCATATTCTCTTGCATTTTAAAACCATTTGGTACAATGGTACGCATTATACTCATATTATGACCATACCTATTCATTTTAAATAATATATTTCCATTCTCTTAACTTGTATTCATTTTTTTTAAACATGAAATATTTTTTAGCACTAAGCTAAAATTGTCGTCACGCTTTTGTCGCGATGACAAATCCATCGAATTACAACTTAAAATAATATTTTTGAAATTTGTTTGGTTTCACACAATTTATTCCTAGTAGGTATATTCAAAATTACGCTTGAATATTTTAATAGGTAGGTATAAAAACATTCTATAAGCATAGTGGCATAGTACATAATATTATTTAACACAGTAAAGCGTTTTAATGGCATTTAGCGCATACCCGAAGATAACATGTTAACAGCTGTCGACTTGTTTAATAATATGTGCTTATAATATTTTAATTACGTATTTATGTTTTGGTTTCATTTGCTCGCTATTACTGTACCTAAAATAGGTCAACGGACGTATTAGATGATAATAATTATACAGCACGATACCTTACATTGTATAAGAACATTAAGAACCTAATATGTATGTAAAAATTACATCCTTTATACCGTAGATACATATTTTATATTATCAATAAATTGTTAATGAGTAGAAATTGGATTTTAATGTCCAAACAAAATAGAAAAAATAAAAAAATTCGTGTTCAAATTGTGTACACTTATTTGAGTGCCTTAAAAATATCAACAACACAAAAAAAAGTAAACTTATTCAATTGTATTTACAAATCGTCCAAACAAGTGAAGTGTGAAATCATTAACATGAAAAAACTAAAATTACCATTTTAAATAATTAACTGTTTAATCTATACTGAAATCTTTTTAGACGTGAGGTCGCAGACTTAAAATCTCCAGAAAAAAATTGTCACGAGTAGTGTTATTTAATGTGACTCAAAATGTAATTACATTTTTATCGAGAATATTGTCGCACTATTAAATTTTTGGTTTTATTATTGGTAATGATTTTTTTCTCTTCCACTATAGAACGCGCGATAAAAATATTTGTAAAAATGCTCCATCTTTTTTTTTTTTAATATACATTTTTAATTCAGAGTAAGTATAATATTTCAGCTCAATTATAAAATATAGAATAAAAATATGCTCTGAAAATTCCGAAAATGTTTTAACTCAGAAAAATGCAAATAAGCCTGGGGGACCGTCGTGACTGAAACACATACTTACATGGAATTTTATCACTGGAAAATGATTTTTTTTTAGTGCATCTAAACTACAGCGCCTATTATTATTATTATTATTACGAACAAAATTTAAAATAATATGTTCCCCTTACTCGTGTAGTGGTTATCATCGACGATCGGTGCATAAAAATTAAATATTATAAATCATGCTTTAATAACAACGAGACACCGATCGTTGTACGAAATCTGTGGGCCGAGAATAATATTCACACGATAAGTAGAACCATATTAATATTTAATAGTAACAATAACAATAGTTTTTAATTGTGGCGACATGTTGTTTGGGCTGTATATACAATATTACACAATGTTATCTATAATGTTATTCATTTTATAATACAATTATTTAAATTATGAATTTTGCCATGTACTCTTGGACATTTTTGTGTAACTTAAGGAGTGTCTCATATCTGCAAACTTTATTTTTAAAAAATAATCTCTAATTTCTTACTGTAAATTGTTAAACAGACGTTTTTTTTTTTTTGAACATTTTGACTATTGTTTAAATCGAAATTCGATCGAGTTGCCTCTGAGTTATTATCTTTACCTACCTATACAGATGTTAAAGGTAAAAGTCCATAATGGGTTTGCATAAAATATAAAATAAATCTAATATTTAGACTAATGCATAAATTAAATTCCATAATTATAATTTATACAATTTTAATAAACTTGTATTAACTTGTATTATAATTTTAAATCATCAAAGACCCCATCTGCTCAATCTATTATCATGCACTATTATCCTTGGTAATTAAAGTTATATAACTCTGACAATAGGTACACGTTTGAATTTCGATTTATAAAAATATATATTTAAAAGAAAATCATCTCCTCAACAATGATAACAAAAAAAAAAAGGGTCTTTGACTTACAACAAATATGCTTATATATCACCATAAGTTTAAATTACACTTGACAATTCTAAAAATCAGAATTCGAATAAATTCACTATTAAAGAAAATGTTGGGGAGGGGGGGGGGTATGATTGGTGATTCTCCATGCATAATATAGGTACTCAAATATTATTGTTTATTAGTTGTGCGCCGAATGACAATAGGCGCAAGATAAAATAAATGTCTGTTTTGTTCATTAATGGCAAACAATGATGAATAATTCGAGGGTTCCCACGATACATCAATAAACAGTTTGTTATAATATTTGAATTAATTTTAACCGATATATTTCATTACCTAGGTATGAATATTATTTGCATAGAAAATTGCCGAGAACATCAAAATGTATCATAAAATATTATATGTCATGTCATATCGACTAATTGAAACCATTTTTATCGAATACTAATAATTCTTTTGTTTTCTAACGATGAGATTTTAATGAAATTATACTTTTGGAGTACCTGCCTACTACAAAAGCATTAAAATATTACATATTATTATTAAAAATTAATTTAAGCGTTTTATTTTTAAGGGGATTTGGCAAACAAGGATATCAATGTCAAGGTGAGTTTAACTTTAAAGTAATAATTTAGAATGTATAATTTTTTTTTTAGTTTATATTATTAAATTGAGTTTTTTCACATTGCAATTTTGAATTAATTAATAACAATAATAATAATAATAAAAATGTTAATTAAAAAGATCAGATCTTTTCTTCAGGGGTGTTGGTGATGGTGGCGGTGGCGGTGGTGGTGGGTGTTATCGTATTAAATTTCAAAGCAATTATTATTGGGACCCGAACGGTTTTCCCTCGAAATTAAATTTATTAAAAATTATTGCGAATATTAAAATATTTAATTAAAAATAAGAATACTCAAATTAAATATCCCGATACACACATATATAACACGTTAATTTATACAATTCTATTAGATCACAAAATTACGTATATAAATAAGGAATTCGGATGACACAAATATAATTATAAACCTCCATGGTCGTAAAAAGCAAACACACAAATTCTACGAAATGTTTAATATCGAGATTGGTTCTGCAACGACGCGCTTTTTTATACACAGATACCTGTGTGTAACGTACATTTTGGCTAACGTTTTTTCGAGTAATAAAAAGTTGTATGCAGATAATAGATTGGAAACCGAACACAGGTGGCACATGCCAGGCCTAAGCACTATTGATATTGCCAGGACGGGCGAAAGCACAACTTCGCGCAATCACGCCCCAATACGGTAAAAATGTGTCTTTGGTATAAAAAAAATGACTTTTTTTTTGCTGTCGTTTCTTCGCGAGAACAAATTAAAACGAGGTTTACGTGCAGTTTATTGGGTCCCGCCAGTGACTTTTCGTAGGTTTTTTTTTATATATTCCAAACCGTATTTTCGGACTTGCACTACATCACTGGCGTCGGCGTTTGAAATCTGTTGCGGGACTTAAAATACTTTTGCAATTATTTCGCACAACTCCGAATTCCGCCGATTGTTCCACTATTACTCGTTCTGCAGTGTTATAAAATTACTAAACATTTTCCCTTTCCGCAGTTTTATTGGCGAATTGCACGTTATACGCGTTTAAAAAAGCAGGTGGTTTGTATTTATAATCTCGAAAATAAGTACATAGGATCAAACATTTTTGATTACCTACCAATATGTATATATCTAGCTACCCACTATCGTTTTTAGCTCCTATAGGGCTTTGACTGTCACATAAATATTAATTTTAGAACAGCAAACTCAATGTATGAAAATCGACGGCGTTTGAAGTTTTTTGGTTTCTCCCAGACTACGTCTGACGTCGAAATTGTGTTTTAGAAATATATATGTATCTAATATCATAATATATACCTGTTTTACGAAAAGTCTCTCGGGGACTTAACCGTATTCACACAAAAATGTTATTATTTATTCCAAAATTAATTATACCCTATTAATAATAGTACCTAATTATTAATGAACTAAGTAAGTAATATTTATTGTCTGAAAATTATTTAACACCTGTAAATACTCTATAGAACACTATGTTATAATTTTCATTGTCATTGAACAGATTTTCTGCTGAACTTATTTTTCATTTATTATGATTAGGTATTATTATTATTTTTTTTTATATATAAAATTCCGCATAGTACATTTTCTTGATTTCTCGTTCGACCAAAATCTCGGATGTATTTCGTGTTGTGTTTGAATTTTTCTAATTATATACTGTGATCTAATTTATTGTTTTTCGATCTAAATGAATTAAAATTGATTTCAAATTCAAAGACGCATCCTACCTCAAAGTCGCTGCACAGGTATTAGGGATGGGTAATAAATAATAATCGAGTGAATCGCATAGTACTACGTAGTATACACGTACATTACACATAGAATAACTTAGTTATAACTTTATCAATAATTTCTAATAAATCACTTATTATGACAAACGCCTAACTCCGACATGGAAACGGATGCAATCACACTAATGCGTGATTAATTAAAACCTCTCTTAACGCAAACACCGTTTAAAGTTTTACTGAAGGTATACAACTACCCTAATTGATCGTTGATCGTTTTCCTAAAATAAAAAATAGTGTACATCGTTTCATAAGGTAATATTATTTGTTCATTTCGCACACATCACGAAATTAAATCCGCACAAGACCACGATTCGATGACATGTACATTTTTAACCATGCAATTAAATAAATACTTATAAGCTCTATAGTTGTTCATTTTTAAAATTTTTTTTTTTATTTTAAATCTATTTATTCAAACGAAACATATTTTTGTTACCTATTGTATACAAATTAAAAAAATAACAGTAATCAATCTACTGACTTAGATTTTGAGTAAATAATTGTATAAGTTGAACTTTATAATTTTCAAAAAACTTTCAACTTTATGTGTTGACCATCATCTATATATTGAATTATATATTTATGCATAATAGATTTCAACAATTTTTACTTACGTGTTTGTCGGAAACGTCCCGAGCTTGACAAACTAAAAAAAAAAATACCATTATAGTAATAAGCCAAATTGGCAACCTAGTTTCAAATTTCGACCCGAACCATTTTTCGATTACCCTAATTTATCGCTGTTTTCAGATCATTATTGTGATCACGTCAGAATATATGCTGGGCTCAGCCAGATTATTCTCTATACACTGTTTTAAGGTTATTTTTGTTATTATATATTATGTATTAAATTTGTTTTCCGAGCTTTAGTAAACAGTCGTGTCAGTCATTGTTAAAACTTAAAAATGTTTTTCGTTATGTTATAAAATTGTGAACCTTAGTAATTTGTCAAGTAAATTATATCGATGAAAGTTTTCTTATTACGTTGAAACGTATCGTGTGCGTTTTCTATTCTACGTAACGAGCCAACAAATATGCATATATATTTTACACGATAGAGCCGAAACTCGAGGCAAAACGGTGTTAAAAATGTCGTCTAAACGTCCAATCGTACGATATATATTTTTGAATAATAATACAACACTCGTCGGCTGCCGACGATGAGAACGAATCGAGATTAACATTCGCTGTAGGATTTTTAATTAAAAAAAAAAAAAAATAGTCTATTCCAGGCGGTGTTCACGACGAAAATGATTATAAACATAAATTATCTTATCCTCACGGATATCATCAACTCACATGTAAATATTTTTAAGCTTTCATCGAATTCGGAATCCACATAATCAGGGTTCGGGATTTATAGAGCACTAAAATACATTAAAATATGTGCTTTCTTGTGCTCTTGAAAATGTAAAAATATGCACAACATTTGTTTATTATTACTTTATTTTATTTTATTTTTATAACATAATACTGACTGTATGAATGTGACATTTTGTCGTAGGTAAACAATTTAGTATTTCAAAATTGAGAAGCATCTATAATATAATATATTCTTGGAAAGCGTTTCTTTTTTTAAATTGGATTAAACTGCGAACCAGCGACGATCACTCCGAAACAATGATAAATTCAATCCGAATAACATAAATTCATATCTTAATTATTAACCTTCACATATTTTGATAGATATGACGTATCCGTCTGTGGCTATAAATTACCTTATATCCGACCGAATATAATACAACGTTATTCGCAGGTCTTTCGGTACGTTATATTTTCCCCGCAAACCGTATGAAATGGAAATGTCGATAAAAATTACAAGATTAATCTCATGCGCATACAGGACGATATATCTTATGAATTATAATACGATCGTATATATTATAATATGTTTGTCGGTGACGGAATGACTAAACGAGTGAGTTTTAGGTAAACCGTAGTGCGTATAGTCGGCCTGCATGCCCCCCAAAACTGGTCGTTCTCTGTCGTGGACTTGAGTACGTTATATTATTTAGTTGTGATGTTAGGCCCTCGGGGGTACAGTGCAATGGCAGCCATCGCAAGACAAATTGCAACAATAAACATTGTGCCTGCGGCGGGGCTGAAGAGAGTTGTGTGACAGTAAATGTCGCGGCGCAAGTGCTTATTATTCTTGTAAAAACAAATAATACAATAATATAATGTAATGATAATACGTACGTTTGAAAAAAAAATATCTACCTACACCGCATGTTTCGGTTGCTATTATTATTATTATTATTATTATTATTGTCGTTGTTGGGATTCGCCTGAACGTCTGGTTGAAAACAATAATTGGGTATCCGTGTATTTTGTTAATAATGTCGTTAATTATTTTCGGTCAACGTAATTTACTTATCACGTGGGGGTATATCTATGCACTGAATTGTAAACCGTGGCGTGGGATTATTACCACCTATCACTGCTATTTTATGTAATGACATGGAGATTAAATTGTTGATTCACCAAACATCTTTAAAAATATATATGCAAATGAAGCACGACAATGGTAAAATATTCCGCAACACAATAAAATCTTCGAAATATGCAAAAATTCAATCCTCCATATTCCATACCTACTCATCGGAAATGTATATATTATCACTGTGCAACATTCGGCTGAATCCGGTATACATGGGTATGCAAATCCCGCAAGTCCCGAACACCCCCCCCCCTGCACATAACGCAATAGAATATAATATGTATCTTGCGTGTCGACGAAAAGTTGGCCGGGGTTTTTTCCCGAGTAAAGTGTTAGATATTTCGGTTTCCCCGACTTGCCCGAATGCCGAACAATTAATGATCATGAATGAAATCGTTTACAGTTTGCACGTGTGTGGTCCACAAGCGATGTCACATGGAAGTGGTGACGATCTGTCCGGGATTCGGGAAGAAAGAGGTTGGTGATTCAATTTCGCCGTATTACGTACCAGACTAGTATTTCGAATAAAGTATTCGGAATACTTTTCAAGTATTTTGAATAATTTTAGACTGCTGGTTCGAAAAGTATTTAAATCAATGCTGTATTCCGAATCCTTTGGGCAGTATTTCGAATACTTTATTCAGACTACTTTTAATGTATTAAAATTCAATTTTTGTTTTAATATTTATTGTTCTAATATGCTATAAATCGTAAATTATCACAGTTAAATACAATATATTTTAACATCGTCTAAAATTTCATATTTTTTCAAAAACAGTATAAACTTATCATTTTTTATGTACATCTAAAACAAAAAAATATTTTAAAACTATTTGGAATACTATTTTTGTGAAATGTTGGAATACATTTTTCACAAGTATTCAAGTATTCATGCTAATACTTATTGAAACCATGTCTGTTAATATTTTCTAACCCATAATGTACGAGTGCGTTTTCCTGTGTTTTAGTTAAGTCAAGGAACCCAATCTCAACGGTTCAGTGTCAATGTTCCTCATAGATTCAAACCACATACTTATAAAATATTTACATTTTGTGATCATTGTGGTTCACTACTTTACGGAATCTATAGACAAGGCCTGCAATGCGAAGGTGTTTATAATTTTATGTTTTCAAAACGGGATTTATGCATGAAAAAAAAATGTATTAATGTTTTCGAATATTATGTTTGTGTCCAGTTTGTACTCTAAACGTGCACAGGAGATGTGTGAAAAACGTCGCGAATAACTGTGGTATCAATCCTCGCGAAATGGCAGACACATTACGAAGCTGTGGTTTGAATGTCAGCAAAAATGTTGTAAGATTTAAACCATTAAATATTAATTTTAAAATTACTCACCGTTTATTTACAGACGACAAAGCTGGGCTAGTTAACATTTTTAAATTATATAGAGTGTATGGACTATAGTTTAAGTTGATTAAAAAAATCGTTGGTACTTTTTTGTATTGAAAAACGGTTAAGGAAAGGTAACCGCTCTGAAAGTGTCGAGTTTATATCGTTGTCGAGTACGATTACAGAAATGTGTTGAATTTGAATTAAATGATAAATCTTTTCTTACGAAAAATGATTCTGAGCGAAAACGGTTTGTTAGCCTATATTATACTAAGTACTAAGTAGGTGTACGTAATTTTTTTTATTTTACATTTATGCTGCTACTATTTTTATTTATTTTACTACATTAGTACCTTAAGTTGAATGCATTTTTTATGAAAATATTTAATTTATTTTATTATTAATATAATATAATTATAAAACGGTACCTATTTAATATTTATATTCATATTCATATCTTTTTTTAATAACTTTTGATTCAATATCGACTTACCGTAGAACTGTGTGAATTGGTTCGTGATATAAATAAGCAATAAAGCAATAGCAATAGCATACATAACTAGTCTAAATATTTTAAAAATGTCACTATGTATATTAAATGTCATTATTTACATAAAAGTTACTATACCTAATGAAAAATATTATGAATTTCGTTCAAATATCTACTTTCAACCAAATCTGGACTTCAAAGTTGGTTCCAACCATGGCTTAAATATACAAGGTTATTGCAATAGTACCCCCACTATATCATTTTATCACGTTAAGGAATTAAAATGGCAGCGTAAGGGGACGACGTATACAGGCTATATTATGATATTATATCCTATGATATGGACCGTACCCTTACGCTGCCATTTTATTTTTATTTGATAACAATTTGGCTATGTGCAATAACCTTGTATATTTAAGCCATGGTTCCAACTATGAACTACTTTTGAGAAACCTCAATGTAAACCTTCGACAATACATATCAAATCTTGCAAAAAAATTTAAAAATTTTATATCTAATATTATTTTTATTTTTATATATATTTAACTACAAAATAATAAGCAATTAATACTCGTGATATTGACGCATGTTGACAAGGTTTAATTTAAAATGCTTGTACAAAAATATCGTGTCTGTTATGTATTTTTAATTTGTTTAAACAGCTATAGGTATAATAATAAAATATAAGGTACCCTGTATTAAATTGAATATATTTTTATCGATATAAGGAAAAAAAACTTTGGGAATTGCAATTGTCTATAAATAGTTCAATAGTGGTCAAAATATTTTGAAAATGAATCCACGTAGGTATAGAAAATGCTTATTTAGACATTTATTGAACATTTCAAGTAGCTGCGATTAAGAGATTTCTTTTTTCCCTGATTTTATTTTTCTTAAATTACAACTAGATTCACTTTAGTACAAGAAAAAATACTGAAGTTAAAATCAAATCATTTTTTCTACTTCAGATCATGTAGGTATACAAAAAAAATAAAACACATTGTATAATCAATACATTCATCACTCAGCCCAGGATCTAAGACACGAGAACTATGTAGTTTTTGGACAAAGTTCGGTTATAATAGTTATTCGTGTATAATAATTATTTTCATAAAATAGTTATATTTATATCTTGTGCATATTACACACATTGCTCATCAGTTCGTTATATTTTATACGAATCGTTAATAGAAATATTTTCATCATGATCAACAGATGTGAAAAACATTTAAAAATGACAAAATATTTTTTATTAAAACATAGGAAAAAATATTTGGTATAACAAGCACTGTTTTAAAATCAACATGTTATGAGTCGTCAGCTACTCGTTAAGCTTACACCAAAGTAAAATATCCACTTTTATTAAGACTGTTACTTAGCACATGTTTAAATATTAACCAATTACCTACTTCATATATAAAGAAAAAGAAACAGTTACTATAGGAATGGATTTAAAGTTTAACTTTTGTGAACTCGTCAACGCCCGGCTTGTCGGACGAGAATTTTTAGATCTTACAATTCTACGGACAATGAATTGCAGCTAATCAGATTACAAACCAAAAAATAATAATAATAAGTATAACTTTGAATGCATGTAAAATTTTCCAGGACTGGCCCGGTGGAAATGGTAGTTTTAGCATCAGCAGTGTTTCAGGAAGCGGAAGTGGTTTGCACCGTGATCTCAGTCAACAATCTTCCACTACCTTATTGAGCATAATGTCTGATAAGCATTCCTCGCAGGACAAACGAAGTAGCGACAAAATGTCCAAAAGTAAAAATTATAGATATATTTATTTTAAAACATAATATTCACCATTATACCTAAAACACGTTATTCCAAACGTTATTTTCAGTGAACCAAAGCATGAGCTGTTTTAACTTAGGTAATCGAAAAATGAGTGTAACAGATTTTACTTTCATAAAAGTGCTGGGCAAAGGAAGTTTTGGCAAAGTGATGTTGGCCGAAAAACGAGGAACCGACGAAGTCTACGCGGTCAAAGTACGACAAATATTTTATTATATCATGAGGCTTACCTAAATCAGGGATGGCAAACCTTTGAAACACTGCGTGCCCAAAATTACCTCTTTTTTTTAGAGCGTGCCATGAAAAAAAATATCAAAAATATTTTATTTTATTAAACTATCAAAACTGTAGCCAGGGGGTAGGCAGTAAATAATATTTTTATATTTTCATATTTTATTATATCATATAACATATATTTACTCTAAACCCCCTCCCCCTAAATATTTTTCCGGCTACGGCCTTGTATACTATAATTTGATTGTATAATTAATGTACCTATTACTATAAAAAGGTTAGTTTAGGTACATAATAATTGTAATGATATATTGCTTTGTTAACTATTTATTTTGATGTGATTATTGTATATGTATACTATTACCTATAATATTATACATTATATAATATATAACAATAAAAATGTTCGCGTGCCACGGATTTGCCATCCCTGACCTATACCTATACCTTTAACACGATGACAACGTGAACAAACGATTAGAAATATAATTTATACCTATAACGTGATGATTTTTGCTCGTTGTCCAGGTGTTGAAAAAAGACGTGATTGTGCAGGACGACGACGTTGATTGTACCATGACTGAGAAACGTATTTTAGCTCTGGCGGCTAAACATCCGTTTTTAACGGCTCTACATTCTTCTTTCCAGACCAAGGTACGCCGTGTGCAGGGTGATTTTTTAAGCATGCTCGCCCCATTTTTATGCTTAAATTATGCATACATTCAAATTCTAATTTTTGGAATTTTTAAGAGTAGTTTAATACATACGATATTTTCGAGTACTTGGATTTTTCACGACATTTAAGGATTATCCTGTGGCGATACCAACTTCTGTTTTTCAAATGACAACCTATATGTTTTAAAGCAAAATGTGATTCAGATAATTTTTCTAAAAATGTTGACGTAGTGTAATCGAAATTTGAACGAAAACTTCCTTAGTTATTCTTCTTTACATACTAAAGACTAAGGATAGTAAAATATTAAATACTAAATACTTTGTGAATGGATACGTGCTCGATAATTATAATTCGGTTAGGTAGTAATTATTGACGAATATCTAATATATATTGCATACTGAATTATAATTATCGAGCTCATATCCATTTCACAAAGCGTTTTAGTATAATAGTCTATCTATTATCCTTATTCCTTAGTATGTAAAGAAGAATAACTAAGGAAGTTTTCGTTACACTACGCCAAAATGTTCAGAAAAATTATCAGTACTTATCACATTTTGCTTTAAGACATAATATAGGTTGTCATTCGAAAAATAAAAGTTGGTTATCGCCACATGATAATCCTTAAATGTCGTGAAAAATCTGAGTACCTACACGAAAATAACGTATTTAACTACACTTAAAAATCCCAAAAATCAGAATTTGAATACATGCATAATTAATTTATGCCATAAAAATGGGGCGAGCACGCTTAAAAATTCGCCCTGTATATACTCGATTTGATTTCGAATTCTCCGAGAACCAATTTTCGAGTTATTTTTTTTCCTGTGTTTTTGAATACACTGACAATGTTCCGTGTCCGTTTAGGATCGGTTGTTTTTCGTCATGGAGTATGTGAACGGTGGCGATCTGATGTTCCAAATACAAAGGGCCAGGAAGTTCGACGAGCTACGCGCCAGATTTTACGCAGCAGAAGTGACGCTTGCTCTGCAGTTTCTACATCGGCACGGTGTAGTTTATAGGTAAACAAGTACACCTGTTTCGGAAACATGTTGATTCGTACTTGAAAGGGGTCTGTGTTTTAAGGAGTAATGTTTAGGCAATTCATATGACATGTGCATTTGGGCTATGTCCATGACGCGTCAGTAGTAAATTAACATTAGTGTGTGTTTCCAAGAATTGATGTTAATACAAATAAGTATATACAATTTAGTACTAGGCTGGTTATGTGTGTCAAAGGGATCGAAGCACACTTATTTCTTATACGTTTTAGACCAATAAGCGGCGGTAAATTACACATAATTTGAAATGTCCGATTTTAACTTTTAATATATTATGATGAATTCTTTGACAAAAAATATCCAGACTCTTTAGAAATCTCTTTTCGAATTAAAATCAGATGTTCCCAAAATAAATACAAACGTAATGCAGCTATTTCATGAAATTTTCGAAAAAATATCTTAATTTTAAGGTCCTTTAAAGTTGAAAATTGAACATCAACTTCCTGAAAGCTTAGATATTTTTCAAAAGAATTCAAACATATATTAAAGATTGAAATCGCACATCCCAAATCATGTGTCACTTTCCACCGCTCTTTGGTCTTAAACGTTTGAAAAATATGTGTGCTTCGATTCCCTCAACAAATATAAAATATATCTTAAATCGAGGTCCACAGTCAATAGTTAGTCCAACGAGACGGTCATAATATAGGAACTTGCTCATTAATTAGTTGCATACATAGACCTTAAACTTACAGACAAGAACTGTGTCTAACAACAGCATTACGAGCGGTGTGCGAACATTTTGCAGTGATTTAAGCTGTCTTGGGTTGAGTCATTCAATGACGCCGAAAAGCGTTCTTCGTGTTACCCTGGTCAGTGTGCGATCACCTCTTGTCTAATAGTGTAAGGTCCATGGGTATATGTGAACACAGTCCATGTATTCTTCTAGGAACTGTATCGTGTTTGGAATTACTTGACGTACAATAATAATGACTTGATGTTCAGCCCGGTACTAAATGTTATATACTTTTTATATTTACATCAATACTTGCCAGGAAGCAGACGAAATATAGATTCTGTGCCTTATTTTTATTTCTCGAGTTGAAGCTACCATATGCAGTTATATGAATGGGTTTCGGGTACCCAAGTTAATAATTGGCTCAATGTGCATACTATTATTCATACCGAAACACACAATAAACTGTTACAGTTAGTAAGTAAATGTCACATTGTAGTGCGATAGCCGGCAACTGAAGCTTGGAAAGTCCGTTGAAAAGTGTACCTAATAATATTAAGTCGTCCAAAAACTGTGTTAAGTGTTGTTTGCGCCATACTTTAACTTGATAGTATACCTATAATGCTGTTTAAGTATTACTGTCTTACCATCTTTTTGAGCCGATTTGTACCTACTTCAAAAACACATTTTTGTGTACAGATTAATCTGGCTACATTGATATCTATCTAAGTGTTTTTATTTCATTAAAAGGTTTATTCTATTTACCCTTAACCACCATTTACTTTCTGCATATTACGACACAATAAAATCCGTTTGGTTCTAATTATTTTCACTACAATGAACATACCTACTTACTTCATTTCTAATAGTTGTATTTTATTTGCAGAGATTTGAAGTTAGACAACATATTATTGGATAACGAAGGCCACTGCAAGCTTGCTGATTTTGGAATGTGCAAAGAAGGCATAAGTGATGGAGTGACTACTACCACATTTTGTGGAACCCCGGATTACATAGCTCCAGAAGTATGATAATGTCCAAAATTTATTTTTACAAGCTGTTATCGTAGTTTTATTTTAATTAATTTTAAAATTAAATCAGATTCTTCAAGAATTAAATTATGGTGCAAGTGTCGACTGGTGGGCCTTGGGTGTTCTTATGTATGAAATGATGGCTGGTCAACCGCCATTTGAAGCTGACAACGAAGATGATCTTTTTGAATCTATTTTGCACGATGATGTTCTTTATCCGGTTTGGCTCAGTAAAGAAGCAGTTTCCATTTTAAAAGGGGTAATTATTACAGCTTTATCATAGGTCGAAGGCCAATTAAAGTTTATCACAATCACAAACCAGATTGAAAAGTACTTTATACTTCATAATAATGCTAATAACGTTTTTATCATCAATTCTAGTTCATGACAAAAAACCGTAACAAGCGTCTTGGCTGTGTGGTTGCTGATGGCTTAGAATCAGCTATTAGAATCCATTCATTTTTTCGAGATTTGGATTGGGAAGCCTTAGAAAATCGTCGTGTCAAACCGCCTTTCAAACCAAAAATTGTAATTTTTGTATTTATATGTATAATATATTGTATTATATTGTATAGTAAAACTCCTGGAAATCGCTTATAGTGAAACTATTGTAGATTAATTTATTTATTTTCCTTATTAGAAAAATAAAAAAGACGCGATGAACTTTGACGCCGAGTTCACTAAGGAAGAACCAGTCTTGACACCTGTGCCTGTGGATGTAACTTTATCTATTAACCAAGAAGAATTTCAAGGGTTCTCATTTGTCAATTTTGACTTCAATCCAAGCAAATTCATCTCTTCTCAATCTTCAGATTCTTCTAAATAATAATAATCCTATCAAATATTTAATTTTGGTGAGTACTGAGTATAATATGTTTAGTATTTTTTAATTTTTTTAAAGTAAACTTTACCACCAACATTTTACATTTATTAGTTTCAAGCAGTGTATTACAAAGTATAGGTTCATTGTAAGTTTATTAATTCAATTTTGTATTTTTAATTTTAAAAAAATGTTTTATTAGGCTTGTTTGCAATCAAAAGAAAATTTTCAAATGAATTATAATGATTTTTATAATTTCCAAAAACCAAATCATTGTCTGTTTAATATTTATCATGAAACACTAATATGTCTTTTTAGTATAAATATTAAAATATACAATATCAATTAAATACATCATGATCATGATTGGACATCACATCGTCACTTAAAAGTTTGTTTTCGTATTACCTACGCAATACACACTAGAAGCGTAGCTGACCAAAAAATGTACCTATATGAGTTGTGTATTTTTCGAGTGGCCTGCAAGTAGAAATTTGGCATCGACGTTTCGATGAATGTATTGTTCATCAAACTGTCGTCATCATCACCATTCACCACTCACTGGACCGTGTTAGAAATATAAAATTTTAATCGTCGAATTTTTTGTACTTTCAGCTGAAAACCGATTCGAAGAGAATTTTAACGAACAATCTGCAATAAACAAAAATGATTGTTATGTGATACGCACAAGTCTACATATTGGTATTATTACTCACGAGTTGCCTCTAATATAGTATATATATGTATAACTTCTTATAAGATTATCACTCTAATATTTGTCTAGTCTAGGATCAATTAAGCGAATCGATCGATCCAGCAATATTGATTAGTTTAGCTAAAACTAAAGTACCTAATTTATTATTAAAGTAAAATATTATACCCGTGCTCGGAATGATCTAGAATTCTATCGTAAATTAAACAGTATTATTTTGCATTTTATTATATAACCAAACTAGTCACTACCTATATTATTATCGATCGTATAATCACCCTCGAATATCACTCAATTATTTAATATGTATATATGTTAATTGAACGTTAATTTACTGCGAATTACGATACTTATTATTTTTTACTACGCTACCAATGTATTTTTGTTTACCATTTTACAAACGTCTTTACAAAGTGACCATCGACAATTCGTCAATCTCTATACGACATACAATTCCGTGTGATGTGACCGAAACTGAATTCGCATAATAACACATATTATGTAACGTGAAATTCTAATACTTACCTACGAATTTGTTATGATCTAATTATTATAATATATTATTATACATAGTAACCGACGTCGGAACTTTCAAATTAATTTATAATTATTTTGTTGCCTAAAACGCGTATAATACAGTCCAATAAAAAAAAACATCTCGAAACTTTGGACGTATTCATAAAATATATATACATATTCCCTTGAATAAAATATACATATACATATTATAAAATATATTATATTGTATTATTTATGTGTATATCAAATAATATTATTATTTTTTATAAATAATAAATACGTCCCGAGGATCTCAAATGCTTTGGCAGCGGTTTGTCCAGCAATGGACTTAAACTAATGTTATATAAATTATAATAAAATTAGTCTCGGGTTACCTGTATCGAACAACAATCATTTTTAGATTTAAATACAAACTCGATTAAGTCATAATATAATAATATAACATATTATATATAGATTATAGGTAAATTATTATTATAAATTTTATTGTAAACTAGTTTCGTTAAAAAAGAAAAAGAAAAAAAAACTATGACAAATTTATTTTTAAAAACGATTTGATTGTTTTTGTTTCTCAGATTAGACATAAAAGTGTGTTCATTCAAGTGGCCTTTAAATGTTTAATTTTTAGTAAAGTACGCAATATATAACGAAGACACGGACCATTTAGTAAATAAATATATCGAACAAACGTTGTGTTTTATGTGTTTAACTATAGGATATCAAAAATAATTTAAAGGACAATTTATTGAATGGCCATACTCGTAGCCCCTACATAAACGATTACCTATGTTATAATATTATGTATAATAATATAATGTAGAATAATGCGCCACAAACGTTTCTTCTGTTTTATTCGTTTTTTTTTTTAAACGCGACCTGCAGCAGAACAGGGTCGTATTGTGGAACGGTGTGCACAGTATACACGGAATCTGTTTTTCTGTCTAACCGCACAAATTAATATTATGCATTATTGTTGTGTTTAAATTATTCGGTTTCCGTGCGGCGGTTTTTTCTGTGTGTCGCTTCCGTTTCCATTACCGTCGACGGTCCGTAATATTTCGCTTTCCGTTCACGCGTCTGGGTGTCTATAGTTTTCGCCCGTCATGACGTGTCATGACACACCATTCCGTCGAATATGGTGGCCGGAAGACGTAATATTTTGCCACGTGCCGACGTCGTCCAATAATATAGTATATTATACAAGGTGTGTCTGGAAGACGTATATATGAAATTGCGTGTCCGGACGAGTGTAATTTCGACGAAAAATCCCCCAGATACACCATGTGTAGGGTGCCCAATTACAATAATTTACGATCATAAAAATAATACATAAACGCTTCCCATGATTTTTCAGCCAAACGACGCAATAACGACGATTCAAGTCTCTCCGCGGTGTTCGCGTATCACGATAATGGGCGCGGGTGGAAATGACTAATAGGTGAACTCAACAATAACGATTTATTATCGTGTTATTTTACAATATTTTACCGTGTGCGTCTCTCGGCTTCGGCACGACTGCCGTTTGTTGTTTCGGGCGTGTGTTTATCTTTACGTTCATATTTTAATAACTCTTAAAAAGTGAGTTTTCTTACACCCGCACCCGCACTTGGTCATCGAGACCTTTTTGTAGGCTTTTCAAAACCCGACAACGCACTGGTCGTCATTCCTACATCATTATCGCAATCATTATGACGTTGCGTTGTCGACTCGAATAGGAAAACGGTCGTACCCGTATGGATCAACTGGTGTCCCGCGAATTTATAATTTAATATTATCATTACATTTCGATTGATTTACGACAAACTTGTAATATATTATTTTAATTTCCAGTGAAATTCGCTTGATTCGCGTGCGTATTAAAATAACTGCAATCCGTAAGCCATATTATATTACGCTTTTCTATGTTCCACCTGTTGTTTCACAATATTATATTATTATCACTTACTCGACTGCTGGTAAGCTTGTTATCATGATATAATACTGCGTGGGAAGCGTTATTTAGACGACGCAATCAATTCGAGATTTCACTACTCCGTAGTTTGAGGTTGAATTTCAAAACTGACAATCGTATTCTGCTGTGTCTGCATATCCTTGCATATGCCTCCATATTGTGCCGGTCATACACTCGAATCACGAGACTTGACGCACTAACAATGCACATAGTACGGACTCGCCTTTTATTTTTTTTCTCTCTGATCGTCCGCGCTCCGGAAACCAAATAAAAACGCAACCGCACGAAACGACAAACCATTCGTAATATTATTATACATGTAAACCGTGGGTACTTAATACCTGGTCGCACGCGTTAAATTCGAACGGCAAACGAACGCCCCAAATGATGACTCAAGACGACGCGATGGTGTCGTTATTGTTTTACACCCCGTGCGAATAATAAATAATAATAATAATAATAATAATTTCGAGAAACTAAGAATAATAATTCGTCTCGTCGACACCTGTAAACATAAACACACTCGCATTGTCGAACGATTTTACGGAAACTTTACGCCACAACAATACGACGTGTGAACAAACGATCTATATTATAATGTAATACGTATATTATTATATTATTGCAAACGGCACTAATATAAAATATTATGTAACTTGACGACGACGTGCAGCCCTTCCACCGACACTGTTCTACATTATCAATTGAAACATAATAATATTAAAATAATATACGAGTAGGTACTTTGATTTTGATACATAGATCTGCTTAGTTTTCGTTTACAACAGTAGATTAACGATATTATGCATACGGGTTCGAACGGATCATATTTATATCTGTAGATTGCATATTTTTTGAAAATATGTCTTTTCAACGTTTCCTATTTATAATATAATATTATACTATATACGATTATGCTCATAAAAGCAATTTAATAATTATGTACGATTTATATAGACATTTTTTTTTTTTACAGCTAACGATATAAATACCTAGGCTTATCAACATAACGATAAACGTGTTACCTATAGGTTTTTTCATATTTTGGTCCAAGACCGTAGTTAATAGCTTAATTTTTTAATGATTTTGTTCATTTGAATTCTATGAAATCCGAACGACTATACGATTACGAGGACGACGTACCTATTTTGGAATAATAAAAAACATTAAAAAGAATAAAAAAAAACACAAACAAATAAAATATAATATATATTATAATAAAACATATTATTATAAAAGCTATTAGTGATAATAACTTAGGTTTAATTATAAAAAAAATTCTAATATATATACCATTAGTGATTAATTATCTATATATTTATATATACATATTATAGAAAGGCGTAAAAATGTGTCGACACGACATATTATTATATTATTTACTTTTAATGTTCAATACTGCGTCATTTATGGTATATAATATAATATTATATTATATACTCGTATTATATTATTATTATGCACAATTTGCGTTGTCCGAATGGGATATATTATTATTGTCATTATTATTATTGTCATTATTATTATTATTATTATAATTATTATTATTATCATTATCATTATTATCATTATAGTGATATAGGAAAACATACAACAAAGCATTACATTTTATTAATACGCAATTATCATTAGTTACAATGATTACCACTTATATAAAGAACATTTATGCACTTAAATTTATTAATTAATTATAATACTACGTTCATTATATTGTGGGCTTGTCAATTTTATTTATTTGTTTCAATCTTCTTCTGGGTGCTGAAAACTTCCCAATATTACTTGTTGTTATTATTATTATTATTTACGTTAACAATGTTAACTGTTCGTGGCTATGAAAAGTTCACTGATTATTTTCCAAAAGCCTTTTTATTTTATTATACGTAGATGTAGGTAGTGTAATATTATGTAATATTACCGTATCGTTTTTTTAATCATTTTAATATTATTATTATAGTTTTTGTGTGAAAATCACGTGTTCTATTAAACTATATTTATGTTTAAATAATTAATTTTATATTATACATTGATTGGAATCAAATATATACCTAGTTATTATTGTTATTCTGTTTAACAAACTTTAAAAAATCTCATCCCGAAAGTTTATTATTATTACTCTAAATTAATGATTATATTTATAATATGTATATCTAAAATATATAATAAGCAAAACGACCTAGTCATCACATATTTGTTATCACCAAGGTACTTTTAGTAATTATTATTATTATTATTATTATTATTATTTTTATTAAAGATCATACCTCTATCTATGTTGTGTACTCAGTGTAGTTTTTTTTTAGTTCATGTTTTTTCTATTCAGTATTATTAATTAAGTTTATGTAATTTTATTATACTCTTATATTATGTTTTAATTATTTTACGTTTATATGATTTAAAGCCGTTTGTTTTTAAAATGTTTTTCGTTTCATAACTACTATGTTATTATAATGTATTATTTGTTGATGTTGTTGAATTTGTTTTGAGTCATTACAGTTACGTTATAATTTTGTGCCAAAATGTGTGTTTAAATTAATATTGTATTTGATTGGTATTTAATTTAATGATTTTTCATTTGTGTCTATTCCTTTAATACCTCGCGCTTTTTAAAATACTAATAATGAGTTATACAATTTACATTTTATGTTATTTATTAATAAAAACAAATTATATTACTTTGATATGTTTTTAAAAAAAAGAAAAATCATGCTATAGCTTACAGGAAATTGTAATTTTAATAATTATTTTTAACATTTTTTGTTGTTTTTTTTTTTTAATAAAATATCAAATGAGCCTTACAATTTCGTCATTATTTGAATTATATATTCTTGTTTTTTCTAAACGAAATTACATCGTTTAGTGTGTTAATTTTCAAATTAATAGCAGCTTATATCATCTGATAAAATTCCCATTCCTTATCACAAACAACGTTAACATTATTCTATGCCTAGTTTATATGTATCAGCAATTTTTGTGAACTTGAGAAGTGTAAGGGAACCCTCCCTTAAGTTTTGGGTTTGGAATTCGGATGGTTAGTTCTAATTATTTTTAAATTGATAGTAATTTATAGTTAATATATTGATATAATTATGCCACGCCGGCTGCATAAATAAAATTATTTATTTATCGGTTTACTATATATTATTAAATGGACTACGTCGCATAAACAAATAATTAAATTGAACGGTTCGCTGAAATGTAATGGACCACTAAATATTGTTTAGGGGACCGCGGTTAGCTTTCTCCATTGACCTATATTGAATGTCTTATGGAACTCGGCATTAATCATGTTTCGGCGACGATCATCAAACAAATATACAATCCATATGTGCTCGCCGTAAGATTCATCACATGTTTAGTGATTGTTTATGAAACCCAGAAATGGTATAGTGGAGTACAGTTTGGCAATGTCCCCAGCACGGTGTACATAAAATATCGATGACAAATTATCAGGTACATCGTGATCACCAGCATTCTGCAAGACACATTACAATTTCTAGAATAGTCTCCACTGATCGCATGTACAGTAAAACTTCCATGTCCGGTCATCGGAAGGACCGGAAACAATGACCGCTATTTATAGGTGGCCATTTTACAGACGTAACCGATAACAGAAGTGCAATACGTATACTTCCAGATGGCCGCTATATTGAGTGCATAAAAAAACCCAAAATAGGTACACACACAAATGCACAATAATATGCACATACTAAAAAACGTATTTATGACAAGGTTTATTTACTGTTATATGTATGTATGTATACGTTTATGCGCGCGCGCGCGTGTGTGTGTGTGTGTACGTGTGTGTGTGTGTGTATATTGTATGTACAATTTGAATTTAAATGTTGTGTCTGTTATATAGTCGTGTAAATATACAGGATGATTTTTTAAGCATGCTCGCCCCATTTATATGCTTAAATTGTGCATAGGTATATTCGAATTCTGATTTTTGAAATTTGTACGTGTAGTAAAATACGATATTTTCGTGTGCTTGGATTTTTCACCACATTTAAGGATTATCCTGTGGCGATACCAACTTTTGTTTTTCAAATGACAACCCGTGTGTGTTTTAAAGCTAAACGTGATTCTGTTAATTGTTCTGAAAATGTTGACGTGGTGTAATCGAAATTTGAACTAAAACTTCCTTATAGTTGTTCTTCTTTACATACTAAGGAATAATAAGGATAATATAGATAGACTATCGCACTAAAATGCTTTGTAAGATGGATATGAGCTCGATAATTACGATTCGGTATGCAATGTAAGATATTCGTCAACAATATTACTACCCAACCGAATTATGATTGTAAAAAAAATTCAAAGATCAACATCGCAGATACGTTATACGATGTGTCCGTCCCGCTGCCTTCTCTGGCCACACCAGAGAAAACGCAGATGCTGATGTGTTAATCTTTGTACATGCACACACTATCACCGCCACCTATAATAGTACCCGTGGTTTGGATGTGGCCGACCGGCACCACGTCACTAATTAGAATTACAAGAATACCGGCTGATCGAAACAATGTCGAGAATTATATTATAACAACGTAGTCGTATTTCGGGTGTGATGATGCGCGACACGTCCGACGCTGACACAGACTTCTTTCTTTTATCTTTCGTCACTTCGACGGTCAAACACGATGAGCGAGTGAAAACACCACCGTTTCACCGAGGACGTCCTGGTGACGATGTCCAATACCGCACTCGAAATGGTAATGCACATTTTTATAATAGTCACCGTAACTATACACCTTGGTCGGTATTCTCTTATTATTATTATTATTATTATTATTATCGTCTCTATGCGTCATGTGTATGAACACTAGGGTGGTTCTTAGTTATAGAAGAAGAAACACAAAACATAATAAAAAAATAGGAGAAGTAGCAATAAAAAAATGTATCAACCATTTGTGGTACTTAAATGCTGGAAGTGCAGTATTTTCTTTATTTGATGATCACATTGATTATAATACTCAATCAAAAATGGCAAAACGGATATTGGAAACAAATGAAGAAGAAATCAATGCTGACGAACAAGAAAAAGACTCCAAAAAAAAATTGTTTTACAATTCGATGACGTTCAACATTTTGTGTGTAAAGACCTTCAATTTGAATTAATATCAAATAAATCGATACAGTTTTTTCAAAGATTTCGTGTTTCTTCGGACTTTTTACATAAGATCCAAATTTATGGAAAATAACCACCGAATATAAAGAAGCAAAAGATATTATAATTTATAGCTACATTAAAAGTTGTCAATGATAGTGCAGAAAGAGGTGTGAAATTGATGGAGGAGTTCAACAACAAATTTACGAAACAAGAGAAACAGAAACAATACGTGTTACAGGTATTTTTTAAGTATTTTTTGCTCGTGGAATAATTAGGAACTTATTAAAATGTATTATTTTAGATCGTTCAAGATTATAGGAAGTAATACCCGGGATTCAGTCGTGAAGTTTTAAAACAAACTTATAATTAAAATACAATTTTATAATAATTTTTATATAATTTGCCTAACTTACATAAATGTAGTTATTACAAATTACATTTTTTTCAAGAGATTAAATTTTGTTCGATTTTTAAATAAATTTTATTGTATTTTTAATATTTTATCAAATACCCTAGAATAAATGTAAAAAATCTATTTTGCAAAATAAATAAAATATTTCGTACTTTACTATTTTTCTTAGAAAATAAAAGACTTACGACAAATTTTATAAATATATTTTTATGAGGAATATTAAAATATTTAATTAACCTTCTATACATTTTTTCGCTAAGTACTAAAACTTTTGAGTTAAATCAAAAAACTATAAAACTAAAACCTATGGCGAATTTTCAACCCTCTTGAGGCACGGAAGAAGGGGGTGAGTTATTATAACTACATTAAGCCTAAATAACTTACTAGTTGTAATGAACAAAATTGCAGATACCTGACTCAACATTTTGAAAATTAAAAAATAAGGACCATCCTAATGACCACCCTAATGAACACATATTATTATTATATTAATAGTAATTATTAGTACTATATGTACGACGGTAACCCCAGTGGAGCCGCGCCATAACGCACGGCAGTAATATACTTATATATTATTATTGTGTTCTCTTTTGTTTCTGTTTTTTTTTTGTGACCCTCTTTTGGTGCAAATTTTCTTGCCTATGATTAATCAATTTTTTTTTTCTACATCTAAATTAAATATACCACAATTCACCCAGCAACTGAGTGTTAAATTATTGTTCCCTGTTTTTTTTTTTTTTTTTAAATCCCACATGCTCCGATTTCCGAATCTCGGCTGTGGGTTGGCGACCTACAAAATCCAGTTTCATCAATGTACGCTCCACGTCGAATCAAGACAGGCATCGTGCGAGACGTTACAAGCTCGTATCCATTCACAAAGTATTTAGTATTTAATACATTACTATCCGTATTCTTTAGTATGTAAAGAAGAATAACTAAGGAAGTTTTCGTTCAAATTTCGATTACACGACGTCAACGTATTCAGAAAAATTATCTGAATCACAATTTGCTTTAAAAAAGAAAAGGTTGTCATTTGAAAAACAAAAGATGGTATCACCACAGGATAATCCTTAAATGTCGTGAAAAATCTAAGTACCTACACGAAAATATCATATTTAACTACGCTTAAAAATTCCAAAAATCAGAATTTGAATATATGCATAATTTAAGCATAAAAATGGGGTGAGCATGCTTACAAAATCACTCAGTACCTATATTAAAATTAAAAGTATTGAGTATTATTAGTAAATTTTAAATTTCTGAACAATTTTTTTCGAAATGAGTTTCTGCTGTTTTTAGTTAATTAAAATTGCCTACGTCTCCTTTTTGAAGAGTAATAAGAGCTCGTTGTTTTATTTGATTAACAACCATGTAGGTACCTACATATTTTCTATTATTTAATCCTATCATTTGACCGTTAATTATTGTGCTAGCTGTATAGCGACAAATTTTTGTAATTTTGATGAATTTTAATACTACTAATGAGTAACATTGAATTCAATTTTCAAGATGATTGACACTGCTTCAATGAAAAAAACTGATGATAATAATAAAATGTTTATAAATAGTTCCAAAATGTTGAAAATTTCAAGAATCTACTTAGTTATTCGTTTTTAAATCACAACAAAATAAGAAAATTGTTCGAAGAGAAATCTATAAGTTACAACTTACGGGTCTCTAAAGGATCGTAAAAAGTTGATTGGACTGTTCAGTAAACTGTTTTATTATTTTTTTTTTTAACTTATAAATTCATGAAAAATATTGAACTAAATTATCAAATCTTAGATAGAACAAGAAATATTTTTATGAATATCAAACTCGAAATAATTTTGCAAATTATCGTGATTATGACGAATTTCATCAACAAATTTCAACGACAATAATTTAAAAAAAATACTTATAACTAGAGCGCGGATTTCAATTGAAATGCATTTTTTTTCCTAAATCCTTACGCAATGCTCAGTTTGGCAAAAATGCGTTTCAAGTGGTGTAGATTCATATAATTCAATTTTTATTTTGCATTTTTTTTTGTCGTCATAACTTCTTTAATGCATTTTTGGTCATTTTCGCTACTTTTAAGGTTATTATTTTCATATTTTCGAAAAATGTAGCATTTTTGGAGAGAAATAAAAAAATTTCAAGTATTCAATATTTTTCTTTTACTAAATTATTGAAAACTACACATTATCATCTGTTTCATATATGAATTGTGGTAAATAATAATAGTTGATGACGATAACAATAAAACGGACTACGTGTGTATAGTGTACATAGTGGGACTAGCCACACTATTAATATTCCCGTCAGAGGACAGAATTTCCGTTTATCAACGAAATATAGTTTTATACCTACATATCGTTCTAATCAGCTATTTCTATTATTGCTATCTTCTAAATATTCTATTTTTTATGTCATTAATTAAATTTTAATAAAATTAAAAAAAATGTTGTGCATTTTTTTACATCATTTTTCACATCTTTAGTACATTTTTTTACGTCATTAATTGAATTTTTTAGGTCGTAATTGCATTTTTTCTAAGACATTTTTAGGTTTTTTTTAGGGCATTAAAATCCGCGCCCTACTTACAACAATAGAAAGTTTCTTATACCCCAAAAAAAGTCAAAATATTATTAAATTTATGTATTGTGTAAAATATCTCAAAATAAACATTCGGTGTAAATTCCATATGCATCTACAAGTATGGTTTAAGAGTTACACCAAAAAACAATCGATTTTGTCGAAAACTGCTTTCGTGTGAAAATTCCCGTTTTATTTAATATTGTTATTCCCGATGTTTTCGAAAACTAGTTTAAAATATTTGAATAATTTGTAAAAACTTTAAATTTTGTTAGCCAATATCACGTTTTGACGTGAAAAATGTGTTGCAAGATGACTTACTTCAGTGATATTTTTTCCTAAAGTGTTACAACTAAATTTCAAAAACAATAAAATATTACAATAATTAGAGAATTTTGTGTTAACAACATTATAACTCAAACCTTAATAATTAAGAATTTTACTACACAAATTAGATAATCAAGAAAGATAGGTAATTTATTACCTATTATTGTAGTTCTGCAGATCAAAAATGCAAAATTACTCACACGGTTTGCAAAGTGCAAACATTATTAAAACTATAAATATTGATAAATCGGAAATGTCCGTTTTCGACCAAAAACGTACCCTTCCCTCTTCAGTAGATTCACTTTTCGACTAAATTAAAAAAGGTTGATTTCCTTTTCGACTCAAACGAAAAGTTTAATAATAATTAATACCATGCACTTCAAGTTTTTATGTTAAACTCAGCCACTTAGGTACACAAAACTACATAAAATATAAATAATAATAATATAGAATTGTTGTCAATAATTATTAAGTATAATACTAATGTGTTTAATACATAAAAAAATAAACTTATTAAAAATGTAAGTTGTATACTCGATACAAATTACATATACCTACCTATAAATAGTAGTTGCCATCACAATCAAACTCGGCGACCGATCAATTTTAAAAATTATTTTTGATACGTATGATATAAAGTATATATTAAACTTTTTGTTTTGGCTGAAAGATTTAAAGTACCACAACTCTGTCGAAAAAGGCAATTGCTCAATTTTTATATTTGGTCGAAAAGTGGATCGGCCGAAAAGGGAAGTGTACGTTTTTGGTTGAAAAACGGCCTCTACCGATATACGTATCATAATACTAAACACGATAATTCTGAACTTCAACTTGATATTTATTGGATTGCAAAAATAAATTTGACCTCAAAAGTATAAAAAATACATTCATTTACGAAAAATAACAATAACAGTGTTCTATACGAACTATACCTAATACTATAACTAATACCTATAGGCACCCAAGTACTAAGTAATACTGCACAAGCTACAGAGAATGTGAATTTTAAACCCTCTGAAACAATACTTCCATAGAAATTCATAGAAATTTAGCATACGACTTGCGAGTAAGGTATAGACAAAAAAAACCGAGAAACTAACATTACAAAATATAATCTCATTAAACAAGTAAAATTTATTTTAACCATATACCTAGTCTTATAACCTTTGTACGTAGATATTGTGTGCATATTATGCATTATTGTATCATTAACGCAACGAAATACTAGTAAATATACTGTAAAACAATAAAAAAATAAAACACAAATTTACACTCCAAACGATGTTGTAACGAACAATAATACACTTAAAATATTTAAATAACAAATAATATTTTTGAACATCACAACAGTTTCAAAGAAAATTGGATTTTAAAAATCTCAAACATGTTATAAAAAATGTATTACCTAACACTAAAATGCACTTGAACGTCTCGCCAAAGCCATTCAAGCGCAGTATGAACCCATTATGTACGCAAAATGCCAAAATGTAATCTGGTGGCCACACATATCCACAAAACTTCAACAAGCGTACCAACGCCTCTCAATGTTATTCTTAACAAAAAATCAGCTGCACAAAAAAAATGCTCACTACTAATCTACAAGTAACTATTTCGCCCCCTACTAACATATGCTTGTCCGGTCTGGGGTAACTGCTCAGCTATACATATAAGAAAAATTCAAATTTTCCAAAATAAAATCTTAAGAACAGTAACAAACGCACCATGGTTCGTACGAAACGCAAACCTTCATAAAGACTTCCAAATCCCCGAAGTCCAGGACCTCATAATAAGGGCCCTTGCTACTAATTTCCACAACTCACTTCAAAAATCAACAGGCTCGGTACACTTCAACCTTCGCATACGTCCACCACCTGTAAGACGTCTCAAACGCGGCCGTCCACAAGATTTTATCAACTAATAGAATAAAAAACTAAAAAGATTGAAAATTGAAAATATCTATAAATAACATAAAAAGATTTGAAATATTTTGAAAATTTTATCATCTATAGAAAATGCCAGTATAAAAATGCAGGGAAAATTTCATGTGTATACGTTAATTAATCATAACATTTTTTTTAAAAACAAATTAATATACAATTTATATAAAATTTCAAAAAGTATGTCTAACTTAATACCATTCTAAAGTCATTTCACTCAGATTTTAAAAAATAGTATAAAATCATGAAAAAATATAAATATGCATCAATATATTTCTTTCTATACCTACCTTCTTATCATTCTATTATTATTGAAATATTACTGAAATTACTGTTTTTACAGTTCTAGAACTGCAAAAAAAGTGGAAAAATTTAAAAGACAATTTTCGTAGAAAATGTGTTTCAAAGTCTGGTATGGCTGCTAAAAATGCAAAAGGTTATACTTATACTAAAGTATTAGAATTTTTGCGTCCGACAATGGAAAACAGAAAGTAATTAATTCAATGTAAAAATAGTATTTAAATAATATAATTTTTTTTTTTTTGTAGGACTGAGAGTAATATTTCTAGTGAGTCAAGCAACGAAGAAATTAGTGACCAAGATAGTGAAAGAGAAGATGAAATATTGATGATTGGCTTGAATGAAAGTGAAGTAGATGTCCAATCTCCTTCAACCAGCAAATTGTATGATAAAAAACAAAATAAAAAAATCGAAAACTCTTTTGAATCAAGTGAGAATAATAATTTAAGAACCAAACGTCCTTACTCACCTACTATCAGTAAAAAAATAAAAACTAAAAGCATCAAAAATGAAACAGCATTTGAAAACAAATTGATTTCCTATTTACATAATAGACCACAAGAAGAACCTGACCCTGACAAATTGTTCCTATTATCATTGTTGCCACAAATTAAACAAATCTCACAGGACAATAAAACTCAATTATATATTTATTTTTTAAATGGAATTCAACAAATAAGTCATATTTCTAATAATCCACAAACAGAGTTTCATTCTTCACATCCTCAAGGTTATTCCTCAAGTCCCTTGCAGACACCATTAAACGTACTCACTGATTCATCTCCTATTTTACACCATAAAGTAAACAATATTAACTCTCCATATCAGACTCCTATGTTTGCTCCTGTGCCACAGCATTATATGCAAAATAATCAAAGTTCACAATTTTCTCAGTCTACCCATTGTCCTGTAAATCTGCCCCAAAATCAGCCTATTACTCAAACACACCACAACAATCTTCCTAGCTATCATGAACATTCTTAATTAAAATACATAATATATCTTAAAATATATTTTATACATTGTTAGAATACAATATTATTATGTTTGAGTATATTTTTTTGTTTTATATTAAGATTTGAATTAATATTGTAAAATACAATATAATTTATAAAGGATGATTTTTTTTTTTATTAATATTTTATATATTGTTATAATACAATATCATTATGTTTGAAGTATCATTTTTTTTTTATATATGTTAATATTTGTATTTAATATTGTTAAATACTATATAATATATAAAGTATGATTTTTTTTATATTAATATTTTATATATTATTATAATACAATACTAAGTTTGAAGTATCATTTAAAAAAAAATTAATATTTTAATTTAATGTTTTGAAATACAATATTAATTTAATATAATTAATATATTGTTGTTTTTTATATTCAACTACAACTTACGAGTATTTTATGCATTTCATTTTTATTACATATNATTTTTTAGCAAACTTAAATACTGATTGTAAATCACATACTAATAATTAGTCACTTACCTTAATGTAACAGTTAGTCTTTCTTCAGGTGGAATAGATAACCGTAACACAGTATCTTGCTTTTTCAACTTTCTTCCAATGATATCTAACTGAATAATCAATTACAATTTAAATATAATATAACCAAACCCATGTTTTAAGAAATAAAATAGTAATTCAATTCAAGTTCTTTACACTTCATACGTATTTGATTTATATAAAATAATATAATTTGATACTTACCAGCTCATCAAATGTTTTAATTGACATACGGAAATATTTAAAAAACTCTTCTGGATATTTCCTTAATGTCAAAAAAGTTACTTGAAACTGTCCTTCACGCGGCCTTTTTAAGTTAAGTGGATGTACCCACCAACGACGCTTAATTTTTTTATCTTTTTTTTGTCTCATATTAATTTTATACAACGAATACACTATACAGACAGCTTCTGCATCATTTAAGTTATTTAAGGCGTCCATATTTTCAGTAAAAAGCAAAAATATAATTCCGCGATCGTGTGATGGTACTGAACGAAACTCGAGTTATGAACGATTGGCAAGTTCCGAGGCGTGCGTAGTGAAAAATATTTTTCCCGCGCGTTTGAAAACCGCGAACGTACGCTAGGTGTGTAAGATATAGATTCAGCGTTTTGAACGCTGCGTTTGAACGCCGCGTCTAAAACGCTAGGTGTGTAACCGGCTTAAAACTCTTATCATTTTATCTATTTTTTTTTTTTCTTCTTTGCATGTATTGTCTAATCAACCTTATCTTTACTATTGTTACTATTAACTATTGTTACCATGCTTAAAATTGTCATAAACTTATCTTTATATAGATGTAGATAGCCTGCTAGTGTCTTACTTAATAAACAAAAAAAAAAAATAATAAAAAATACGCAAAATGTAATTACCGGACTAAGCGAAAACATGAATCGATATTGAGTCGAAATTAAATCGCCGGCACTATATAATGTATGGACAATTAAACCGCTTTTATAAGCCATTACAACGCATGTTAGGAACTCCTTGTTTGATGTCATACGATTTTAACATCGGTAAGCAAAATTATAATTATCGCGCCGACGGCTGTGCGGCTCGGTGACGGCAGTCGGGTGCGACATATACCTCATCGTCCATAGTTCATCAGAATTATTCCATTCGTCACGATATCAATCATGCTACTGTAATTATTTATATCATCGCATTCGTTTCAAACGATTTTAACAATTTGAATTTATCCGTGAATGACGTTTAGACTTTTTACTCGAAATGAATATAATTATGTTAGTGTGACGATTTATGTCGTGAAACCGACAACGACTACGGATCCACCAAAGTGTCTCGAAATCAACCGACGGCCCACAACGGCCGACCGTGCAACGGGGCAGAAGAGCTGATGTTTTGGATTCTTTCGGGTCGATAGAAAATCCGATAAATCAGGTATGCAACTAGTCTATGTATATATATATATATATTATCGGTGGAGTACGATTGCCAGCGATTTATTTTTATGTTTTAAAAATAATATAATGATTTATGTAAAGTTTTGAATATTGACTTTGAACAATATCAGACAAATCATTACGCGCGGCTTGAACATAACGATATTGTTGTTTTAACGATTTTTTTACACTTAACACATCATCGTACCCGTGTACATCATGAGAGTTTACGATAAAGATCCAATATAAAAGTATGATCTTAAGTAAAGATTAGATATTCAAAAATTCATCTTCTCTCCGACTTGCCCTCAGCGAAGAAAACACAGAAGCTATATACAAATTCTTTTATTATATACATTTAAACAATAAGTTGTAAATATTTATAATTTCACATTGTTATAACTTTCTGTAGGCTAATAACCTAAGCTGTTGAAGCCTTATCATTAATAAAAAAAAAATAAAAAAAAAAGTATGATCCAAAATATAACCAGTTAGTGCTTTGTGATGGAAAGTCTGTCTGGCAGCGGCAATTGAAAGTACAATAAATAATCTATTATAATAATGTATATAGATATAGATCGCCTCAATCCGTATGGATATTTACCATGGATGTGTACCTATATATATTGTTTGTCAGTGAAAGCAGCAAAAGCAGTGCCCGATGCGAGTATCTGAATGACTATAGTCACCTACCCCCCCCATTAGCTTTGGTTTGTAATTTTTTCGAAGATCGACATTTTTGTATAGAAGTGTAAAATTAAAAAAAAAAATAATGATAAAAATCGTCGTTATTCATCATAATTAGAATTAATGTTAAATATTGCGTACCTTCGAAATAGACGTATTGACCAGGAACCGACCGCAGTCCACGGCTTTGGATAATAATTCGTACGACCCACCTGTAAATCTACTCGTCAGACTTGTGCCAGTTCTCGGTTGTTATCGTCGTTCACAGATACGAATATTTCTGCAGTGCCGCCTGTTATTCTGTCTATAGACGGTCATTTCGGTGTTTTCGTTCATAGTTTTCGGTCTACAGAGGACTGCGAATGTGTTTTTGTCACGTATAAAATATATATCTGGTTCAAAAAAAAAAAAAAAAATGGGTGGACGAGTGGGTGGTGCTTAAAAACTTCGAAGAATGATCGAACGGTTCTCTCGACAGTTTTTATGTCGCGAAAATATTTTCGAATAGAACAACTCGGCGAACCTTTTTTTATCTAGCCCGAGCTACATTTTCAAATTAAATTGCAAAACAAAATAAATTCTAATCAAAATGTACATTTTGAATTGCTCTTTTCTTTTTTGCTTTGCTTTCCGTGCTCTGGCCCGCCAGATTTTCATTTTCTAAAAATTGACCCTCCAGTAACTTTGAGTCGCCCGTCCCCGGCATCAGGTACCTATACCGCCGATGAAGACGGTGCGCAACCGTATGTGTCGCTGGTATATGCTACCCACTCGTTCGCGTTGTCTCCGTCTATTAGCGCACGTACTTGGCACAGCAAATGTCGGCTCACTAGTTTCAACATAGTTAGTTTCGATTTTAGAGGGAATCGATGGCCCGCTATCAAACGTTTAGGTAACGAAATTATCTATATGTGCTCGGGCGTCGAATTCCGTCCGATATTTTGATTGCAAAGCGAGTTATGATTGTTTTTAGTTTTTGATCACTGCTGCAGCGTGCTCGAAAATGAAAATATCGAAACATCTCTGACGCTCGAGCTCAGATAACGCGCTTATATTTATCACTTTGATAGTATAATTTACTCTGATAATATCGAAACTAGTGAACGAAAAATTGCTATACGCCGCACGTAGTCTGTAAGACGGAGACAACAACACACACACACAATGTGTCTATATTATATAATATTATACACACCCGCCAGTGGCCATATACAGAATAAAATATTAGATACGAGTTATTATATATATTATTGCACTGCGTCAGCGAATTTATACTGTCGCGCTGGCATGATTTAAAATATGGTCTGCGTATGTATATCGTGCACGCGCAGGAAAAAAATGTCTACGAAGCTCAAACGCGGAGGCGTCTGAAGAATTCCGACGAATACTTAGGGCGCACTTGCAGGTCTCGGACACTTCGACGGAGGTGCTATTTGCATAATATAGTAGTGTCAGCAGTACACAACATCACTGGTTGACAAAAAAAAAAAAACAAAAAAAAACAATCATTGCACTGGGTATTGTTTTTGTGCCGCACGCTATATGATTTGAGTTATAATAACGCACCAAGAGGAGACGCCCAAGTGGTTGTTACCGAGGATTACCGTCCCACCCCCCCTCCCGCCATGTCTGACAAATAGCTCAATCGCTGTGTCCTTTTTAAAAATATTCGAAACCAGCATATTATCTCAAAGACAATATATATAATGTTCTAATACGTCCTCAAGTCATCTTAATTTTTTGTCGCTCGCGGACACCCTTCGAAATAATCTCTGAAGCCGCTGCGGACCTCGAAGTTTACGAACAAACAATTATTATTTTTAAAAACCGAGTTTTTTCACGCGATGTGTATTGATTGAAAAATTAATTTTAATTTTAGTATTTTTCCACTACAAATTGTACAAATAAATCGACATTCAACGGTACGTTAAAAAAAATAATTATGATTAATGTGCTGACGGTGTTGCATTCTGCTAAAAGTTTCGACGTTTCACTCTCGATGTACCGGATGTAGCTGTAGTTTTAATGACCGCCAATCGGAATCTGTATTTTGCCACCGGTTTCTGCGCAAGCGCATTCGTATTCAAATGTGCGTTGCTTTTTTGCAGAAATATGCGCAGGGGAAAATATTAATAATATTAAGACTTGCACTGCTTTATTTGATTACGTCATTGCATGCTACGTATACTTTTAAATTATCGTACTTACCTACGGAGGCGGATCGGTGATTTTTTTCAGCCCAGAAAATACGAATCAAAGGCAACACTATCGTTTCCTCAAATATTTTGTAACCGATGTAGACATCGACGTTCCGTACAGTATAAGTAGCTGAAAGTCAGTCAAATCGTATAAACATTTTCGAAAAATACATTTTAATATTTTACCAATATCTCTTGTCTGAATTATTTATCTACAATGTATTCACTGAATATGTTAACACAATTTTATCCACGAATCACCATCATTAATTACTTGTTGGCTATTATAAATATTGTCATATCGACTATGATTTTATATTAAAATATTGTGATATGATTTTTTTTTTATAAATATTTATTAATTTACAATCTACGTGCATATTCATGTCATCGCGATCTCCAAACATTGCATAATATTTCCATGAGTATTTACAAAAAAAAAATATTTTTTTACAATGTTTTAATTATAATGCCACCTGCTCATCGCGACTATAATTATTATCTCTACCAGGGGTAGCGAACATTTTTCGAGTGAAACGACAAAATTTTTAAAATATGATCACGTGCTCCCGTCGAAAAAAAGGTCTTTTTACTAAGAACATTAAAAGGTTTTTATTTAGTTACATTTTATTACTCGTTTATCCGTTAACCGTTTGTTTAATGAGATATATTCTTAAATAAATTAACGTTAGGTGTTAAATTTTATTTTACTAATAGTTATTACTTTTTACTATTTATAATATTATGTTTTTAATGCGATTTCTGTTATTCTTTTTTTCAAAGATACCAACTTATACGGTTAATTTTTCAAAATATGTCGAGAAAAATATTTTTTTTAATTATAACAATATAGACTCGAATACTCTATATAGATACAAACACGCATGTTGTGTGTGCATACGGCCAAAATGATGATAGCTTCGTGGACCCCGAGGGGACCTCACGTTAATATTTATTTACCAAGCACTCGGTATTAAAGAACCACTGATTTATTTTCCATTGACCGGGCACTAAATTAGGCCAAGACCGGGTAAAAGCACAGGACAAGCTATCAAAACCGTATCAAGCTATATTTATAGTTTTTTTAAAATTGTAAAAATAATGTGATACTTCTGCGTACATATAGGTAACTGGATTTATAAAAACCATATTGTTTTGATAATATAGACCAGGGATGGCAAACCTTTTGAACACTTCGTGCCCAAAATCGCGCCTTTTTTTTTTTAGAGCGTGCCACGAAAAAAAAATTATATTTTATTATATTATAATTTGATTGTATAACTAATGTATTAGTATAAAAAGGTTAGTTCAGGTACATAATAATAATTATTATAATAACATTGCCTTGTTGATTATTTATTTTGATGTGATTTTCGTCATTGAACACTTGTTGCCAACCCGTTGATGTTTGGTTTATATAATTAGTAACTTTTAATAAAGTACCTACACGCGGCACTGCATTCATCAGTTAATCGTTAATGGCCGATATAAGCCGTAAGCTTTTTACCTATTATCCACAATATTATTTATTGTAAATATACAATAGTAAACATTTTCGCGTGCCCACGAAATCTTTTCGCGTGCCATGGATTTGCCATCCCTGTTATAGACCATAATATTATTATAATGTTGCAACAATTTTTTAACAAATTCATTCTAAAATCAGTAGCCCGTAAAAAATGTTTTACGTCCATATTTAAAAAATAAAATGGACTAGTCGCTACACAAATCTGTGATCAGGTGTCAATAGTGTACTTCGTCATTGAGTTAGAGGGATACCAGTAGATAGTATACGCAGTGTGTTTATCGTAAATACATACTTATTATACAAAGAACGTAGGCACATTTTAAAAATAGAGTTTATTATGATTACTTCGATAATTGAGTACATCGCAATGTCGCATAGGTATGATTTTGGTTTCTTAATTGCAAAATCGTTATTAATGTTGACTGTGTGCCTGGAACAGCACTGCCATATAGAGTTATATTTTGAGTATGAAATTGTTTTTTTATTGACAATATACATAACCGCATCCAACCTGACCACATTTTGGGGCGAATCGATTAAACTACTTACGCTCATCGCAATGTCAAAAAATATACTTAGCGCCTAATTAACTAATAGGACGGTCTTTGCCCGGAATCGTTATATATGTCGTTGAATTCAAATTTAACACATCCATTACAAATACCCACATGACACCTAATGCACAGCAGAGCGATACCCACTCACCCACCTTTTCTCAATGTTGACCCTCCTGAGTACCAACCACGTTCATTTTACTGCCATTAAACATACCGAAGTCGAAGATTGAAGCATTTTTACTGCTCGAAAGTCCAACCATTCTAGTGACAGAAACAAAAAATTAAATAAAAAAGAACATTTCAACCTATACTTATGAAAAGCTGAGAGTCAATCAAAAACAGGAATTACCTACGATGGTAAAAATAAAATCAATTGTTATTACTTATCATAGTAGTAGTCGTCACTAGAAGTTATGACAGAAAATATATTTAACGAAATTCCAAGTACCTATGTAATCAAAAAAAAAAAATGATGACCTACTATACACCTAGGTACCTACACTACCTACACCTACACTAGTGACCAAATATATAATTATATTTTGCCTCGAGTATCTGCAATATTACCGAGTATATCAAACAACATTAATTTAAAAAAAAATCGGACAAGCAGCCAGAAGGTAACCGCTCTGATGTATACCTACAGTGAGTGTTGTGTCCCTCTTCATTGAATGAGTTACTGTTATAGTGTCATTGCAATGTACCTATGGGTTAAATTTGAATTCAATGACAAATCATTGGATGGACACGAAAAATGATTCCGAACAAAGATCGCAGTCTGCCAGTCTATATTACCATTGGCATATTTTTCGATGTATTATTATACCGCTATAATATGATGGTAATATTTATATTTATTTTAATGATATGTTAGGTTGAATTAATTTTTGCGAAAAACATGAATACATATTACATTTTATTATTATAATAGGTAGTATATTGTAATACTTATATCATATTATATATTGTTGTTATTAACTTCTGTGTCAATGCCGACTTAACGTAGAACGGCGTGAATATAAATGGGTTCATATAGGTAGTATAAAATTAATCAAAATATTTTGAAAAAGTCATTATGCATAATATGACATTTAATAATATACGTAAAAGTTTCAAGTCCCTTCGAACAACAACTTGAAATCACAACAGCATAGGTAACTAAAAACTAAAATCGATCTTCTTCGTTTAAGTGTATTCAGTTTTGTACAAATTTGAATTTCAAATGTCCATATATTATATTAAAAACCGTGCTTATATATTTTTTGATTTTTTACGAACTACTTATGACGAATCTGTGTTTCATTTTTAAGACTTTGGTTTTTAATTGCAATTTTACACACATTTGACGTTCGGAAATAGTTGCGATTTTAACGAATTTGTCAATATCTGAACTTTAAAAACGCTCAATCGATAATTGTGTATCTAGATTTAAATTGAAAAAAAAATCGAAAATCGAAAATTCCAAACGTCAATAAATATCTTGGCCAAAATTAGACACAATATTTTTTAAATAACACTGATGATACTTACATTTTTTTTTCAGTTTGTAAAATATGGAAGAAATACGTTCATATAATATTCGTCATCGACGACCATTCAAAGCAATAATTCTTATTTGAGTTGCCGAGAACGTAACACGAGCTATGGTTACTTTGATGTTACTAATTTAAAATGCGTACCGTGTGTTTCACATACCTATGTGGACGTTCTTCAGTTTTGAGGAGGACAAATATCACACGCCTACAGGTTGTACCTACCCATACATTTGAAATCTTCGCCTTCCAGTAAGTTTGCTTGTACATTTATATGGTTACACATTTTAATGTATGATGATGAAGTCTATATGGGTCTCAAATATTTAAATAATTATATGCATGTTATTCTATGAATAATTCTGTGGTTGGGAGCCAAAAACTGATATGTGAAAAAAATTCGATTTTCAGGTTATACATCATGTCATGCGTAGCAACTGATGAATATTTTTGGCTGTAGTCAATTTGCACCAAAATTGACCCAAAATATATAAAACATGTGTAATTTGCACCATTTTTTTTAAAATGCGTTTGTAATTTGCACCAAAATAAGGGTAAGCAATTTGCACCACCCTCAGGTAGTAAGAAATAGGAATTGTAATTTGCACCAAAATTAAAAACGATTATTATTTCGATAGTATACAAAAAAATTTGGTCGATAGTACCAACTTACAAGTTTCTATATTCTAATATAACTTAAGCTTAGTTTTTATCTATAAAATAGCTGAGCGTATATTATTGTAAGCTTATAGAAAATCGTATAGTTATGAATAAAAAAAAAAGTTGTCCAATTAAAATAATTATGTGTTAAATTAAAAAAACATGTATAATGTAAATGTAAATGTATACAAAAAAGTTGGCCAAATATAATAATTATAATATGTAAAATTAAAAAAAAAAACTAATTTACCTATGTTGCATTTTGATATCATTTTATGTTTCGCAGTTAATTGAAGGTGGAATAATCTGTAAATAATAATTTATAGTTGGAAAAAAATAAACTTATGTAGGTACATAATATTAATTATTGCTGTTATACTTCGCTGTTTTAATACTTACACGTTTTTTGTATTTGTATGCAACTAATGCAATGAATGAAGTTCTTGAAATCAATTTATTATTATACTGGTCCAAAGCAGCTTGAATTTGTTTCGTCCGTTGACATGTTTGAGAAGTTATTCTCGGAGTTATATGTAAACTTGAAAGTTTTATATAAGTATCTGTTTGAAAATCTGTTAGAACTTTAATGAAATTGAAAATTTGTGGGTGTGGATGATAAAACTCTGCGTTAAATTTACTGTGAAAGGATTCACATGCATTCGTTGTATGTGTCGACGACGATGATGCAACTGCCCAAATATACGGTGGAAATAATGAATTGATGTCTATATAATTGTCAGTCAAATAGTCAGCAAACATTTGAAATTTTATATCGTGTGGTATTGTTGACATAAAGTCATCAACAAAACATGAGCCCACTTCATTAGGATTTAAAAATATTAATCCAAAAATATTATTCAACCATTCACCTTCGGGGGTTTTATTATTTTTATATACGCTTTACATAGTCCTAAGTTTTGTATTTTCCTGTACCAAGACTGTGTTAAGTGAAAACGACATCCAAAGATATTAACATTGTTCCAAACTTCTCTTAATGCGATATGAATTGATTCTTCAAAATCGCATATAACTGTTGTAGGTTTTAATATTAGACCAACATTTTGACATTCAAGTACCAAAATATTTAAAAAATGTGTATACGTTTGTTTTGTTTTATTTGGTAACAGCGCAAATACAAGAGGAACATAATTATTATTAAAATATCCATGTAAAGTAAAAAGTTGAGTGAATAATTTCGGACAATAATCGAATGTCCCATCAAGATAGATTGTTTCACTTTTGCATAAAAAATCAATGTTTGTTTTGCAAGAAAATATAATTATATTTTTATCAGAATCGTTTGATAATATAAACGGTTCACCTGTGTGTGTTTTGATATCCATTGTTAACAGCATTGAATGTACTTCATTCTGTGATACTGGAAATTTTGGCAATATCTTCCTCTTCGTATTATATATATTACGTCTTAAATCCGAAATATCCTTAGTAGTGATAACATTGGAATCTGTTGAATTTTGCACTACATTTCTTAAAATTTTGGCTGGTTTTTCATATGGTGATTCTCGTGCTTTTATTTTGCACAATTGGTTTAATTTATAAACGTTTAAGTTTTTCTCGTTGTGATTTACATGTACACTTTCATCAAGGACAATCGTCAAATTTTCACCTGTAGTAAACAATTTTGCTGAACATTTTCATTTTTCTCTGTGTACAACGCCAACGAATTATATTTGTAGTTTTTGTTTTATATGCAAAATAAAAAGTATGGTTATCGTATTCTAAAATATCTTCCCCGCGATTACTTTTAATTAACTTAACTTCCATATTTCAAGAAAAAAATTAAATACTGCAATACAAAAATGTTACGTTAAATTACGTATTACGACGAAACGGCAAGACTAAACGTATAGCTTAGTTGATATTTGATCAAAATAATAAACTGATATACATTATATAAATATATATATAACGCGATATAACGCGATTACGACCGACAATTGGACGTAAAACGTCAAACTATTACCAGATAAGGTGAAAAATCCCGAAAAATTATTATTGTCATTCGTGTTCATCTAGTCTTGACGTCGCGTCAACGAGAATATCGAGTAATAACACTATCGATACTAATGATACTATCGAAAAAATAATCGATTTTAATTTTGGTGCAAATTACAATTCCTATTTCTTACTACCTGAGGGTGGTGCAAATTACATACCCTTATTTTGGTGCAAATTACAAACACTACTTTCGACTACCTGGAGTGGTGCAAATTACATATCTTTAATTTGGTGCAAATTACAAACTCCCATATTTTTTTGTGTCCAAATGTGATATCTGTAGGTTAGGTTATCTATCATCAAACGAAATATTCGACAATAATAAAAATTATATATAAAAAATAGTTTGTGTCTTTCTACGGTTTGTCACTTATTATACTTGAAAAACATTTTTATTTGCGGCAAAACACGATAACACGATCCACGCGACGTATAAAAATATAATTTGTAGCACGAAATAGCGATTGATAAGTTTAAAACGAAGTATACAGTTGTATACAATTTTTAAATTTCTCTCCTTGTTGACTTTCTTCACACACCTATAAGCTTTTGGCTCTCTACTACAGAATTGTATTATTTAATTATAATAATTTAAAACAATTACCTATTTCAGTAGGTAGGTACCATTAGTCTTATGAGACCACCGCGTACTCGGAAGCCTTGAGTTTATTATACGTCACAAGTCGACAGATCCATAAGATTCTAGTTAATTATTGGGAGAAGATATTGATGGCAATGAGAAATGTGTTGTGAGTATTATTCGCGCAGATTGCTATTCTTCCATCACTGAATACGATACAAAACCATGTAAGTAGTATTTTTAAATGTATTATTTTGTTTTCTCCTGTATATTTTAATTCTCCGCCGACTTCATTTTTGAACTGGAACTCATTTCGCAATTTCATACAGTATTCATCGCAGTAATGAAACTCATACCAAATGAATGACAAGTTTGTACGAACCATTTTACTGCGTGGGAGGTACCCTAAATTGTTCAACAGTTGTTTTCCCGACGAACCTTACACAGCACTACAGTAAATGAATACATTTTATTTAAAACTGTGACTATATTGTTAGAGTAATATTGTTTTACGTTTTGCTTGTAATTAGAATTTGGCCGAAGTTTCTCGTGGTTGACACACACCAGAAAAACGACATTGGATCAACGTTCGTGGGAGATCGCTAGCAGTCGAAGATTATATTTTGAGAGACGTACACTCCGAAGACAATCGGACAGGTTATAGTAAATTTTGGTACGAACATTATAAAGACGACCGTCTGTACTCAATATTATGTACGTGCAGATCAATATTATAGTGGTAATAATATAAGATCACGGGTTGTAAATATTCTTAAGTAGGTACATAAAAAAAAAAAAAACAAAAAAAAAAATGCGACCGTTCGAATTAAAAGTGTCTGAATAGTGAGTTATATGTAAGGTCACGTAAGGTGCTCGTCTTAAAACAGTAGTTGAAGTAGGCCGGACGTAATCTGTGCGATTCCAAGCACACGTGCACAGCAGGTGTCGTTCAAAGTCGGTGAAGTTATTTAAAAAAAAATAACTCAAGTCACTGTACTACGATTTACAGATGATTACTGACGCGTCGTTTATGTCGCGCTCGACGGATTTGCTCAGGTATAGACGGAACACCGGAACGTAGAGTACGATAACATAAATCGTTGGCGTGGCCGATCAGTCGAGTTCGAATCGCGAAACAGAGACAACAGTCGTCTCTACGTTTTTGAATTGTTGAGTGACACAACAATTCAATATTGTTTCAACTCGTACTCTTGCGATATTCAATACACTGCCCCCGAGAACAGGGTTACTCGGGTGATAGTGTACCGTATAATACGTATTATTATTTATCACCATTCAGATGTTTGATAGACCTCTTATGCGTCGCTGCACAGTGTTCGATTGCGTTAGCTTACGAACGCAGGTCATTCAGTTTCTAGGACCTGTAAAATATAACTTAGAAAACTTTATTCGTACAAATTCAACAACCCGGTTCGGAAGATCGGTTATTCGTGTAGTGGGAATAACCATAACCACCCACTCCTTAACTGGGTGGAATTAGGTATGAATTACGACAGCCACTTAAGGTTAAATAAACGAGGTAGGCGTGTCGCATTACACAGTGTAACGTGGTCAGGGGAACCTTGTTACAATAATAGTTATCCAGAGGAGGTTTTCTATTCTTCATATGGATAAGTTTTCCGTAGCTGGGGGTTAGAGCCGTGTATGAGGTATTATTTCATCAATAACAATCAGAGACGTTTGGTTTAAAGTTCAGTACACAAATAAATAGACAATTATTAAATTAAGCACTTTTATTAAAATATTTACGTAAAGTGGTAGTCGAGTCACACGACCACCGCTAACTGACCATCTTCCTGTTTTAACAACTGACTTATATACACATCTTAAATTTTGATGAATAATGTAAAAATTATTGAATAATTCGTTTACAAAATAAATGTCTTCTTAACCTAGTTTTTACATACTAAAATTTCTTTTTACTGCATCTTGCATAATTTATATTATTGTTATCCTAGCCTACTTGTATGATTTTTTTGTTGTTTAATTTTATTTGTTATGATATTTCTTATTACCTATAATTGTTTACTTAACCTAATTTTTAAGTAGTAACAATTAAAAGCTTATTACAACAGCACATAGGTATAATATATGACAGATATGTGAATATAAATGGGATCCGGCCTGTAGATGATGACGTGCCGCGAGTGTGGATCGTCGATGGGGCCGTCGGATCGTCGCGGAGTCGACGTTGCTGTTGTCGTTGTGTCGCACACACCCTCCTCACACACCGCCGCGGTCATAATATTATATACACCGCTGCCGTGTGCCTAAAACCCTTGGTCAGCAGTCAGCTGCGATCCCATTCCTCACACTAAGCATATTAGGCAGCTGGTGCCCTACTTCAGGAATGATGTACGATGCCGATAGACGGCAATCGTTACAATATCAAATCGACAACTGTCTGCGACACGGGACAGTCCCCGTCGCTTTTTTTTTTTTTTTTTAATACCCTCATTTTCAAGGCTATTTACGCATCAGAATTATCGCGTGCTTTTGATTCCAAGAAAAAGAAAGGAAAATTAAAGTAGCCATATAATGACAGATAATCTTTGTCAGGGGTTTGTCGGATGTTGAGTTTGGACGAAGTCACAATTTTTTCAAAACCTTCCCCGATCTTTTCGTCAATTATCCGATTTGTTACTGTTTCTAATTCTTTTTTTTATTTCTGCGGTATTTGTTTATGTTAAGCGGGTTTTCATTATTTTTCAGTTTTTTGCGAGTTGAATTAAACCCTTTTTTTTATTGATTTCTTCAGCTTTTCAATAGTATTTATTTGGTCGTCTGCACATCTTGGCGTGGTAAGTAAAACTGTAGGTACTACTTTTCAGTATTTCTACCGTTTTCGAATCGAGTTACTTCTTATACAACGAAACAGTGTTCATTTTACCTTTTCTAAAATCAATTATGTTGTTTTTTTTTTATATTTATTTTTTATTTAATAGTAATAATTGACAATATGAATAAGTCTGATGATATAATACCCATATAATTTTTAAATTGACCAATCGTTGATCACCACTATTTACTACACCACTATGGTCGTACTTCGCCCATCTTCTGTATCTGAAACTTAACTTTTAGGTTAACATTTTACATATATTCTTATGGCTTATACTGAAAAAAAAATTAAGTACATGTATGATTATTTAATAATATTACACTATCCTAAAACACCAATAATTCCAAGGCGTTTGTTAATTATTACCATTATTTTTTTGTATAATTGTTCATATTAGTCGTGTGTCATGTTACCAAATATTAATTTGATATTTTATCGTTGAAGTCTTTGAAATTGTGATGCAATGTGATTGCTCGTGTATTAAATTTCGGTTGACTAGAGAAACAAAAAAATAATAATATTATTAATGCAATAAAAGCGATTTCCTTATATTTATACTATTATACTATAACTACTACATGTCCAAAATGTATATTTATATTGATAAGTAATAAATTAATATAGAAATATAACACTACCTACTCGTTTTTCTTACTTATGTTATTTCTTTATTTCCCCGACTTTTAAATTGATTTAGTTGGCTAACATGTTTATTATCGTTTACGAACTGTCCATTTTTAGTTATTTCCACTACGCACGTAACCTCTGATATTTGTCGTACAATCTCGAATGGTCCCCCATATCTATACGCAAGTGTCGATCCTTTATTTTCTGTCTTTACTAATACTTTTTCACCTACCACAAATCTGATTTGTTTTTTTGGGTGGGTGAGTCATAATGTTTTTTATTCTTTAGAAACTTTTCCTCCGGTAATTTCGGTACGCCTCTTAAACGCTGCACCTTGGCTGGTTCAATAACAATTTAACTCGCCCTGATTGAATAAACGCGTCTTGTTTGAATTAATGGTTCTTTTGATCCGCTGCCACCAATGTTACAAGTCGGTTGACCGTAGCCTCGTACTTGTAGAGTTTGTATATAGATTTAGTAAATAAAGTAACAAACACACGTTTAATATTCAATTCATAAAGTTTATTGCGTTCTGAACATATACAGACAATGGCACTATCTCCATTCTCCACTGACTGTCTTACCATCTTAATGTTCCTTATATCTAAACTTATGTAGGACAATCCCTCCTATATAAAAAGTGCTTATTCGCAGTTTCGGGATTGTACCTGTTTACACTAATTCACAATAATCATTTCATTTCGTAATTCTAAATGTTTTATAAATACTACATTTCTAATTTTTTTTGTCGTATACGCCACGCAAAGGCTTGACGTATATAACAGATATGTTTCGGTTTCCGATTCTCTAACCGTCAAACAAGTAAATTATCGATACCTGCTGTATGAACTTTATTTAAATTATTCTTTTGGTGACCACGATGACGAGTACTGCACAAAAGATAATTAAACGAGGTCCAAACAGGTTTTACACAATACAACTCTAAAGTTACTTTACTCTCTAACAACTGACCACGATAACGAGTACTGGATGTTTGAGAGTGAGATATCTTTAACCTAGGCAAAGTCTTACTCTTTCTCGACTGACCACGATAACGAGTACTGGACGAGAAAGTAAGTATTACAGTGTCTTACTATCTTTTTCAAAAGTGTTTTCCACCACCGACGTCTCTTTAGACGTTTTCAAGATAAAATACTCTAAAATAGTCGTAAAGAAAAACAGTAACACTTGGTTAAAAGAATTAAATATAATATATAAAAGAATATCAAAAAAAACAAATAATAAAAAAGAAACGTCAAATACTGCTCGTTAGCCACGACAATGCGTGAACCAAAAACTGAACAGCCCCGCTCCCGTCGCCTTATGTAGTCGTAGCAATTTTGCTGATTCGGCTTGATTAAATTTCGCATCATTGTTTTGATTTTTATAATTTTATTATGTATATGTACAACAGTTTACTAACTGCTACATCCTTACTTACCTATGTTTAATAATATCAGTTCATAACAATACACACAAAAATTTATTTTACTTTAACTTGTAAAAACTTCAAAAAAAAATCGCTTTTCTGGTTACAACGCCCGAAAAAAATGTGTACAATTATTGTACACAAAAACAAATAAAAAAACTGAGAAAAATCTAATAGCGCCAAGGTTGAGGTACCAGGGCGCACACACAAAAAAAAATAAATAAATAAAAGTGTCTCCGATCGTGATTCGAACTACGTTGGGCGCCACTGTCGTATACGCACTTTTCAAGTGATATACCGGATTCTAGGAGTACGGCAAATCGCGTGACTACTCAAACAATAAAACAAATAATTTTTCGGGTCGGAAACACTTTAATTATTTTTTAAAAACTAAATGAACAAAAGGTTGCCCGTACAGCAATCGTCGCCTCTTCCGTGTGCACGTCGATGGCACGCTCTCGACAACACACCCGGCGACGACGGGGACTCCTCGTTCCTGCCCGTGCGACAGTCTTATAATATCTAAGTAATTCTTGTCACCTCAGCACATTTAGCTTCCCAGGCTTGACCTATCCTGATATCTTAATTGCTAAAAATATTCCCACCCAAGAAAAATAATTATGCCGACGACTGTCGACAATATACGACACTAAGCAAAGTACACGACGAACGTATATATAATGTATTGGTTATTAAATATTAATGTATAAACGTAATATATTTATGTTTAAGTAATAGCGTATTAGCTTTGTAAATACTATTGTGGAAACAACTGTATTTACATTCATTATTTTTGATTCCGGCTTCATCGCACACCTCCAGCATGTTGCCAATTGTCGTGATTATTTTGTATTCCAATTGAATCGTATGGCATATACATATATGTCACAGATCATACCCCTTCTGTTTTATTATTTTCGTAGAATTATTCAATTTAGATTTTTATATATTTCAAGTCTGAAAGACGAGCGAGTGGTGTGAAAAATGTTGACCTAGGTATGTTTGTATGTTAATTTATTGTCGTGTGGTATTACACTATTAGTATTAATGTTGTCATTATTATAATACAACCGTAATGCATTAAATCGTATTATTACGGTTAGCATTGTCATTGTTTTTAGGTAGTGATGGTTTCATTATAATGTGTCGTAAAGGCTTGACGTATATACGTATAACAGATATATTACGGTTTCCGATTGTCTAACCGTCGAACGAGTAAATTATCGACACCTGCTGTATGAGTTTTATTTAAGTTCTCCTTTTGGTGACCACGATAACGAGTACCGCGCAAAAGGATAATTAAAATAGAAGTCCAACAGGATTTACACTATACAGCTCTAAGGTTACTTTACTCCCGAACAACTGACCACGATAACGAGCACTGGATGTCCGAGGGTGAGATGTATTTTACCTAGACAAACTCTTACTCTTTCTCGACTGACCACGATAACGATGAGTGCTGGACGAGAAAGTAAGCACTACAGTGTCTAATACTACCTGTTTTTTTAAAAAGTGCTATTCGCCACAACGTCTCTGTATCCACTAGTAAGATAAAATATTCTAAAAAAATGGAGTAAAGGAAAACAGTGACACTCGGTTTACTTAAAAAAAAGGAATAAAATATAATAAAATATATCAAAACAATTAATAATAAAAAGAAACGTAAAAATAATGCTCGTTATTAGCTACGACAATAAATGAAACAAAAAACAGCGCCGCTCCCGTCGCAGACGGCAGACGTCGCCTTAAGTAGTCGTAAATATTTTGCTGACTCGGGTTGATTGACTTCTGCTTCGTATGTTATTTTAATATTTTATAATTTCGTTATATACACAACAGTCCCATTACTACAAATAAAGTATTTCCTCATATTTTTTTTTTTACACATAGGTATTTTGTAATAGGAATCTTTTGTACATATATTATGTACCTATTTGTGGTTATATTATGACATATAATATAATTCTTTTTTTAAAATTTCTTTAATTCTCTTGTTATAAAATCCACCAGGTTTTCAAATTTATTTCGTATTTCTTCCTCTATTGCTATTGTTTCTGCTGTTTTGTTGTTACTGTTTACCTTTTCGTTGCCGATACTCGGTGTTCTTTGATGGAATTATTTTTATTTGGCCAACTTTTAGAAAGTACGCAGAAGGTTACAGCTGATAGGCGGGAATCAAATCTAGTTGGTCCATCGAAAAGGTCGACATTTTAAATTCCCAATATTTTTTGAAAACGGCGGAAAAACAAAATAATATTTAAGGAAAGGCGGGAACATAGATAACCAATTTTTTACATACATAATTGGTTTTATATATTTGTCGTAACTCAAAAAAATAATAACATTAAATAGTTAGACAAATAAATTTCTATACATGTTAGTTATTCATAATATTTTGACGCTTTTTGAGCTATTTATAGGCATGAGAATTTTTGAATTTTTTAAAAGTTTTTAGTTTAATTTCAATTATTTGTGTTGAGAAATAATTTTTTTGCTAAAGTCAAAAAGTTGAGAATTACCGTAGTATAGATTATTTACAACAGCAAATTCATAATGTTTTTATATCTTCTGAAATCTAAGAAATATACTTAAGAAAAACCAAATGTTCAAATAAGAATTACATAATATATTATTTCACTTGTTCAATCAATTATGTCTTATGGTGTGAAGATTGGAGGTACACTTATGATTAGGGTCCGGAATTATCTGCACTAAAAATGTACTAAATATGCATGCATTTATGCAAGTGATTTTCATTAAAATATGCAAAAATAGGTAAACAAAAATGCATGTTAATTAAATGTATTTAGTTTAAAAATGTATATAATTCATTAAATAATTAATATGGAACAATAAAAATGTATTAAATGGCAAGTTGAAATAATTTAACTGTATTTTGTACAGTGTATGTTGCATTTTCAACATTCACTCATATAAATAAAAAGTCGTGAACGAAAATAAATTAAAATAAATTTAGTACAATTTAATTTCGCACACCAACACATTAGCTTAAGATTCATATTTGTAGCTTATCTAGTTACTTTTTTGGACTATTAAAACAAACCATGCAAGTGCATATAAATCCGGGCCCTGCTTATGATATACCTACCTATATCCATCTATACAATTTACAAATTACACTGAATAAAACAATTGCATTTATATTAAAATTACCTAGCAGTGCTAATATCAATTTTATTTATAATGAGCTAAGTATAATATTCCTTAAACAAATGTTTGTATCACTTATATTATCTAAGCATAGAAATATTATTGTATTTTGTAATAATTTTTAATCATAATTTTAATACTAGATATAAGACAAATACTGACTTAACTTTATCTAAATGCCGTAAATCTTTTAGTCTTAAAAGTTTATTTAGTATTAAATGATGTAAAGATTTAAAAATTAATATTAATCTGTTTGGAAGTTATAATCAGTTTAAACACTATACATAATACTAACATAAATCTAATTTCCATTTTTATTTTATATTTTACCTGGGATATATGTTATGTAATTTATATTGAACCCAAGCTTATTGATTGTTGTTACGCTTTCCCAGTACCTTCTGATTTTTAATTCATTAATTCAAATACACTGCTTAAATATTATAATTAAGTTTACTTTATCAATTGATAATTTGCTAAAAAAAAAATACTGTGAACAAAAACAAGTTAGATGACTTAAAGAATGTAAATCATGTAAAATGTCAAGCATAATGTTAGAACTACATCTCCGACACAAGCTTAACTTAAAGGAGGTGTGCAAAAATTATATTTTGTACTATGTTAACCCGTATACTTGTACTGTGTTTTTGCAAAATAAATAAACTAAACTAATTGTGTTGTATTATATTTGTATTCTCCATTTATTGTTGCCATCATGGAATTGTACAAATTATTATTATATTTTTTGTTATTAATTTATTTAGACTGTAATGAGAGAAAGCTTCTATACATGGGTATATTATATTATTATTTTAAGATTTATACAAAAACTGTTTGATTATAACTGATAACTTATCATATTCATTATGATGTAGTTGACTTTAAACGCGCTAACTGCCGGATTGAGATACATTTTGTCCATTTCCGGTATTCAAGGTAATTATACTAATAATTTATTTTTGTCGTTGTGTAAGTTATTTTGTCAAAATCGATTTTCTTTTCAATTATTATCGATGGATAATTAGTCGATAAAAGTTCAATAAAAAAACTTGAAAATGTAATACAAGGTTCTACATAAGCTGTTTATATTTTTATAATGATTAAAAAAGAAGTTCACAGTAAATTGTTGTGATTGCTGTGAATTAGATTTTTGACGAAATAAGTCAAAATCCAGAAAATCCTCAAATTATTTTTAGTTGGAACATTATAAAAAATATTTAATTCATAACTAACATTAAAAAACGTAACAAAAGAATCGCCACAAGTTTTTAGACCTTCAACTAAAAAAAATTTACCGTTAAGTAACATTAATTTTGTATGAGTTTTTGAATTTAAAACTTTTACGATATTGGATATCCTGAATTAACAAATTTCCAATTTTTGATATTTTGTTTCAATTCAAAAACGAAAACCCATTACCACTTGATATTTTCACCAAAAGTTAAAATTACCATTACCATTTTCATACATGATAACATTTAAAAAATATTTTGGAGTTGTTTTATAGCTTGGTAAAAATCTAGAAAATTTAATGTAAGGTTTTTCATAGGTTGTTTTGATAGGAGTTCAAAAATATTAAAGATATAGAAGCATGTTTTGTACTTGTGCCTTTAAAGTCTATATTTTAACAAAAATTCTTCGAAATCCCGATAATTTTCAAATTATTTTTCAGTTAAAAATGCATAAAAAAAATTTGCTAACATTAGAAATTTTAATAGGAGGTTTCCAGCAGGTTTTTCTACCTTTAACAAAATAAAAAAGTTCTCCGAAGAAAATATAATTTTCTTACATCGGGTGCAATAAGTAGGTACAGATAATCATCTAAATTTCTCCAAGCGCAATCAGTGTAGTTCTTAAATAATTCCTGAATGGAATTTTCATGAAAAAACGATCTTTGGACACTGCGTTTTGTTCTATGTATCTAATGTCTATAATTATTGTATCCAATAAACAAGGTCGATTTTTGATCAATGTTTTCAAAGTTTATACTGCCTGGATGAATTTCGAGTGTTATGGTTTATTAGTACAAATTTATTTTATTAGTAATAGAGGCAGTAGGGCTAATATTTTAAAAATCTTTGTTAATCGAAAATCACTGAATCATATCTGAATCACTCAATGTTTCATCAATCGCTTAAAGCATCCCGTTTTATTTTCAAAGACATTTATTTACAATTATTATTTATTTTTTACTATAATAGTTTATAGTGATTTCCATTTTAACTTTTAAGTTTAATGCTTACATTCATTTAGGAAAATAGTACATAACATTTCGTTGGTAACCACATTAATTTTAAATACCATTTGTTTGTTTCACTAAACAAATAATTTGATTTTTCATTTAATGCCATGCTGTTTTGTCTTTTGTTATTCACTGTAATATTGTATTAGGCACCTGCTGTAAGTTTCAGTAAAAACAACTTATGGGGAACCTTCAGTAATATTTGCCAGTCTTTTCACCAAGCGAACATTTTTTAACGATCTTAATAGAAAAAAAAACTACCTATATAACAAATAGGTTCAAATGTTTATAAATACCTTAGAAAGAGTCAATGGTCTAAGTATTTGAAACTTTTAGCACTTTTAGATTATGTTAATTTGAACATTTGGTAAATACTTCAAGCATACTGAAATATCAGCAAACATTTGTTTTTGAATTACAACAATTAAAAATCAAATTTCAAGATTACGTTTCTTATTAAGTTTATATTTTATTGTTCTGCATTGCAATGGGACTATGGGCTATGAAAGTGTATGGGACCTATACCTAATGTTTTGGATAATTATTTTTTTGTAATGTTAGTTGAAAATAAGTTCATTAGTTTTTACATTAGTGAAGTTAAAATTGCTAGAATATAATTATTCTCCGTTTAAAAATCATTTTAATTAAATGTATACATATTACTGTCGCTGTTTAGCTGATTCGAATAAGTATTACACCCAAAATGAAAGCCAAGATTCACACCAAAGCAGAAAATACAATATTGCACATTTGCACCAGTGTCTGGATTGGGTGGACCCAATGATCCATATCATCTATATCTGGCAAAACTTGCTGGTTTCTGGCTTGGTAGTGATACCCGATATGTTTTTCTTTAGCATTCTCTCTGCTCGGTCCATAATTTTGTGTACC